TCTCACTGGTCTGACCCCAGTCTTGCCCACTGTGCCCAGAGCTAAGCTCCGGTGCTGTTACCTCATTCTCCAGACCCCCCCGCCCCCAGGGGCTCCCTGTGGCCCACAGAAAGTTTGGCCAGCTTTGTACCTTAACCTTCGCTTCCAGCCTCACCGTCCGCTGCACAGTCGTGAACCCAACTCCCAGCAAGCACTTCTTCACCCCTGTCCAGATGCTTCCCTCCCTGCCTCTTGTCCACAGGGTCTCCTTCGCCCTGAGCACTCACTCCTGCCTCCATCCTCCAAGGGCTGCTTCAAATGCCACCCCATGCAGGACGCCTCCTTCCTCCTCCGCTGCATTTTGAACAGCCCTCCCGTATACCGGGGGCCCCCGCGATGGGCCGTGCTTCTGTTAGTCCAAGGACCCCACCAAAGAGCACCTCGCTAGGCCCCTGCTACACACGCACCAGGCACCGCGACGTGGGGGCTTAGGAAGTCCAAGAGACGCAGATAGCACTCTTTGCCTTCAGGGAGCTCACCCTCTCACAGGGAAAGGAAAGGAGCAAAACCAGGAAGCCACCACCAGGCACCCAGGGGACCACAGAAATGTTCAATTCAAGGGGAGCTTCCGGTGTGCAGGCAGAGTGGGGGTGGGGAAGCAGAGGAAGCAGAGTTTACCTGGCCCGGTGGGAAGCCCTGAAGGGCTCTGCGTTCCAGGCAGAGGGAAAAGTGTGTGCAAAGGCCCTGGGGTCTGCGTGAGCCTGCTGTGCTGCAGGGTCAGGAGCCAAGCCCGCAGCCGGTGAACGCACCAGGTGGAGGCCGCCGTGCTCTGTGCTCTTGGATGCAGAAAGGTTGACCATGACAAATCCATCCCAGGGTCCTGACTACCTGGCAGAAGGCCTGGCATGTGGTGGGCGTGGCCAGTCTGTTTGGTGACTTGCTAACTGGCAGTCGGGTGGCTGGGTGCACCTGGGGTGCCGAGGAAATGCTGGTCAACATGCATGGAGGGGATGGCCAGACAGAGCTTTGTGGGAGAGACAGGCGGGGACAGAGGCCCCACATCCTTGCGCATGCTGAACTGGGGTGGGGTCTCTGCAGGGAACTGCGCGCCGGGGCTGGTCCAGCCCTACTTTGGGAACGTGAGCGTCACCCGGTCAGGCATTGAGTGCCAGCTCTGGAGGAGCCGCTACCCGCATAAGCCTGAGTGAGTGGTGGGCAGGCCCGTCAGCAGCACAGGGAGCAGGGAGACCTGGGCAGGGCGGCCGGGACAGGGGATGCAGGGTCCTGCGGAGGGCCCAAGCAGGGCGTTCCCCTTTCCAGAATCAACTCCACCACGCACCCTAAGGCCGACCTGAGGGAGAACTTCTGCCGCAACCCAGAAGGCAGCACCGTGGGACCCTGGTGCTACACAACAGACCCCACGGTGCGGAGGGAGGAGTGCAGCATCCCCTTGTGTGGTGAGCAGAATCCGCCGGGTCACACCGCTCCCCAGGCCCACCGCGGCGGGAACAGCATCCCTGCTACCCTATACACGCCCTGGCCAGGTGTGCAGCAACGGGGAGACCCCGAGGAGCTGCCTTCCCAGCTGCCCCTGTGAGCTGAACGCAAATATGCTTGCTTCCGGGCAGGTGGTCCTTCCCAACACTGCTGTCCCCACACCCTTCCTGAATCCCAGAGAGCAAGGGGCATTCACGCCAGACCTGCTTCTCCATTAGCTCGGTCCCTGGCTGGTTAGCAGTTCAACACCTCCTGCCCCAGGCAACTTGGAAGAAAGGCCTGACCATTGGCTTGGGGTGGGAGGGGAGCAACAGCCATTGAGAAGCTTGGGGGGCACTCTGACATGCCTGGGGTCACCACGAGATCGCGGGCAACAGTGGGTCGTCTCCCCCCCCACCCCCTTTCTTTTTTCAAATCAGTAAGCCCGGTTTCTGAGTGGCACTTTAACTACTAACTAGAAAGTCGGAGGGGTGAGTCCACCCAGGGGCATCTCAGAGGAAAGGACTGGCGATCCATCCACTTTTCCAAAACCAGCCGGGCGGCACCCTATGGGCCGCAGATCAGAGACCAGCACGGGGTGGCCGTGAGACAGGGCTGATCCCACAGCCAGGGACTGGAACTGGGAGCAGCCCTGACTGTCACGAGCCTACAAACCTGACCACCACAGGATTCCAGAGGCCTGTAGCCAAACCCATTCCTTCCTCATGTGCCTGAAGGTCAGCCCCGGGGGCTCTGTTATTATCAGCTGGACTTGCTTAGGGTCTGTGGCCGGGGCAGATGTCGCTGAGCACAGCTGCCTGTTGCAGGCTGGACTCGGCCAGGCCACACAGGTGTGCATGGGGCTCAGGGGCGGCCAGCCCAGGGGCAGCCCCCTATGGGAGCGGCTGATCAGTGAGCACGCAGGAGCTGCTGTCCCTGGCTTGGCTCAGAACTGGCACGGTGCCTTGTGCGCACAGGCCAGGGCCCAGAGCAAGGCAACGGTCATGGCCACAGTCCAGAGGAGCACAGCTGCCACTGAAAGCACAGGGGCACTGGCAGGGGTGCACAATGGGTGTCAATCATCCCATCTAGCCCAGCGGTTCTCCACCTTCCCCAGCCGTGACCCTTTCATACAGTTCCTCATGTGGTGATGACCCCCCAACCACAACATTATTTTCGTTGCTATTTCATAACTCTAATTTTGCTACTGTTATGAATCGGGCGACCCCTGCGAAAGGGTCGTTTGACCCCCCCAAAGGGGTCGCGGTCCAAGGTTGAGAACCGCTGATCTAGACCCAGCATTTGCCTTTCCTGGATCCCTATTGGGCCCTGAGCCTGGGACCGGTCTTCATAGCAAAACTGGCCACTACTTCCCAAGCCCTTTCACCCCCCCACCCTCCACTGCACATACACACACAGGCTGATGCAGGCAGGGTGAAGGGGGCCGACATCCTCAGTCAGTCCCAGTCCATGTCCCCCATAAGCACAGAACCCAGGCTACTTACTGCAGCATTCCTGGAAGGCTGTCCCAAGCAAAAGAGTTCAGTTGACCCAGGAGGGTCGAGTTTCCATGCTGGCATATTGATGTCACGCCACAGCTCGTGAGGTCTGCTGTCGGCAACCGCCTGCTATATGCACATGACACGACCTTGCTCGCTGACAGTGAGGTGGACTTGAGGCACTTGCCGGCGCAGATCAAAGACGGAAGCCTTCCACATGGATGGCCACTCAGTATCAAGAAAACGGGAAATCCTCACAACTAGGCCGACGGACACCAGTGTGCTAGATGGAGAGAAGTTGGCAAGGCTTTCATTGAACCTGGGTCCACAGTCGGTGCTCATGGAAGCAGCCGCTAAGAGATCCAACGAGGGTTGCATTGGGCCAGTCTGTCACAGTCCGACCCCGTTAACGTTCGGAAGAACAAGGATGTCCCTTGGAGGACTAACGAGTGTTTGACCCAAGCCATGGTGTTTTCAGTGTTCCCACGTACAGGTGAAAGTTGGACAATGAACAAGAAAAGCTGAAGAATGGAGGCCTTTGAATGAAGGGGTTGGGGAAAATACTGAAAGTACCCCGGACAGCCGGAAGAACAAACCCAGCTGTCTCAGAAGAAGTACGGTCGGAATGCTCTTTAGAAGCTAGGATAGCCAGATTTTGCTTCATGGACTTTGGAGATGTTGTCAGAAGGGATAGTCCCTGGAGAAGGCCATCATGCTTGATACAACAGAGGGTCAACCCGCCGCCCCCCCCCAAAAAAGGATGGCCCTTCATGCGATGGATTGACACAGTGGCTTCGACAACGACACAGTGATCCAAACATAACCTTGGCGAGGCCAGCACAGGAGCCCCTCGGCAGCATGTTGTTCTGTCGTACGTGGGGTCACTGTGAGCTGGGCCCGAATCCACAGTGCCTAACCACACAACAACAGTAGCCCTCTGGGAGATGGATGCTTAGGCTGGATATTCTTAGACGTCCCAAGTCTGCCCGATCCTCTCCCCACACCTGGTGCTATGGAGCTGACTCCACTTCATGGTGACCCCTGAGGCTTGCGAAGGCTGGTTTCTCAGGAGGAGATCGACAGGCCTTTCTTCTGAGGCACCACGAGCAGATGAGCACAGCACCCATTTGCATCCCTGAGGGATGACGCTCTGGTCGTTAGGTGCCCTGGAAGCTCCCCATGAGACAGACAGAGTCAAACTCTGCCTGTGGGTTTCCTTGGTCGGAACCTTTTTTTTAAAAGTCTTATGGGCACATCATTTACATATCCTCCACTTCACTAGTTCAGCCCTATCAGAAAGAATTGTACAAGGGCTGGAATCGTGACAGACATGGTTGCCAGGCCTTTTCTCTGAGGGACCCCCCATTGTGACCCCTTTCGTTTATAAGCAAGCGCCCACCCTGCAGCTCTGCCTCAAGCTGTCTGGGCTCATCCAGGCAGAAAGCAACAGGCAGGATTCAGACCCTCTGAGGCCTGGTTCCATCTGGGGTCCCTGCCCCCCTCCGTGTCCTCTCCCCACACCCCCCAGGTCAGGAGGATTTCACAGCGGAGCCCAGGCCACGCTTTCGAGACGCCAGCTGGCAGACCACAGCCCCATCGGGGTCATGTGTCCCCGACCGTGGCCAGCAGTACGAGGGCCACCTGGCGGTGACCACCCTCGGCTCCACGTGCCTGCCCTGGGGCAGCTCTCAGGCCAAGGACCTGAGCAAGGACCAGGACTTCAACACAGCAGTATCCCTGGTGGAGAACTTCTGCCGGAACCCGGACGGGGATGAGGAGGGCGTGTGGTGCTATGTGGCTGGGCAGCCTGGTGACTTTGAGTACTGCGACCTCAACTACTGCGGTGAGTGGGCAGGCCAGGGGACCTGAGATTCAGAGGAAACAAGACCCCGGGGGAGTCACAAGAATATGCCACATCCGGTTGCCTGAGGCTTCACGTGAGCTGGTCACTGAGAGGGGTGGGCCCTGCACCCATTTTATGGCTGTGTCAACTGACCTCCCTGGAGGGTTCAGTCCCTTCGAAGCAGATGCCCCTGGGCTCCGAAGCCTCCACTCCAAAGGGTCCCCAAGGCCCATCAGGGGCCGGGAGGTCCAGGGGTCGGGCAAGGACTGGCCCGGCCCGCCCCAGCTAGTGCCCGGGTCTCCCTGCAGACCAGTCCCTGGATGAGGAGGAGGAGGAGGACGCCGACGGGGCCATCCAAGGGCGCACCACCACCCAGGAATACCAGCCCTTTTTCAACGAGAGGACCTTCGGCAAGGGCGAGGCAGGTGAGGCGGGCACGGGCCGCGGGTGGGGAGCCTCGCCTCGTGGGGGGCCGCCCCGCCCTCACGCTGCGCTCGCCCTGCCCGGCAGACTGTGGCCTGCGGCCTCTCTTCGAGAAGAAGTCCGTGTCGGACAAGACGGAAAACGAGCTGTTGGACTCCTACATAGAAGGCCGCATCGTGGAGGGCTTCGAGGCGGAGATTGGCCTCGCGCCCTGGTGCGTCGGGGCCCTCGCCGCCCCCGTCCCCCGCACCCTGCTCCCTTTCTCCCCGCAGCGCTTGGGGAGGGCCCCCATTCTCGCAGCCTCAGCTGCAAGAGGCCTAGGGCACGGCGTCCTTGGTCCTCATGGCAACCCGTGGGACGGGGTGCGGTTCCCCTCTCGTTCTGCAGGGGGCGCAGCCGGCGCGCGGCGCGCTCAAGACCGTATTTCGCGGGGCTGCGGGGTTGCGGTCCCCCGAGTCCAGTTTTTCTGACCCCCCGAGGGGTGCTAAGCCAACTGCGCTGGTGGAAGCTGGGGAGGGGGTGTAGAAGCTTGGCGTGGCTGAGGCTTCCGTGCAGTCAGATGACACAACCTAGTTACTTCTCGCGCTGCTGCGGGGCGGCAGCCACTTCCCACCCCGCCCGCCCGCCCGCCCGTCCGCCGGCTCTGAATGCTTCCTGCCCCTCTGCCCCAGGCAGGTGATGCTTTTCCGGAAGAGTCCCCAGGAGCTGCTGTGCGGGGCCAGCCTCATCAGTGACCGCTGGGTTCTCACCGCAGCTCACTGCCTGTTTTACCCACCCTGGGACAAGAACTTCACTGTCAACGACCTTCTGGTGCGCATCGGCAAACACTACCGCACCAGGTACACAGCAGGCCACCTGTGGGCCCTCCAGGGTGACCACAGAGAGTTCTGGTGGCCCTGGGTAAACCGGGCTGTCTGGCCAAATCCTGCTGTGTGGCATCCTGGCAGGAAGGCTCACTCAGACACGTCCTGACCCAGCCCAGGAGCTGGGGCAAAAATGAAGACATTTGCAAGGGTGGAGGTCCAGCGCCCCTGCCTCCTTCCCCCCAGATGCCAGGATGTGGCCTTGGCAGAAGGCTCTGAGCAGAGGGCTCTTGGGAATGTGGTCTGTGGTTCCTGACGGCCTGAGCAACCTGATCCCAAGGACACCTCAGGGCCAGGGAGGCAGTGGGAGATAGCCCTCTCCTTCCCTTGTGACCCACTGCTGGCCTGAGCTCGCTGGCAGGTGCCTACAGCTGCCCCGTCTCTGTTGGGCTCTGCGCAGGTATGAGCGGGGCATTGAGAAGATCTCCATGCTGGAGAGGATCATCATCCACCCCAGGTACAACTGGAAGGAGAACCTGGACCGGGACATTGCACTGATGAAGCTCAAGAAACCCATCCTCTTCAGCGACTACATCCACCCAATCTGCCTGCCAGACAAGGAGACAGCAACCAGGTGTGTTGGGGGCACCTTGGGAGGTGAGGAGTGATGAGCCTGGGGGGCCTCCCTTTCCTGTTCGTTCCTTGGTCAAGTTCTTCACTGCTGTGCTTGTGGCCAGGAGGCTCCTGGATGGGATTGGGTCTCATTTGTGCTTTCTCCTTTCCCTAAAGATTGCTGCAGGCTGGGCACAAAGGGCGGGTAACCGGCTGGGGCAACCTGAGGGAGACGTGGAGCCCTGGTGAAGGCGACCTGCAGCCCAACATCCTGCAGGTGGTGAACCTGCCCATCGTGGAAAGGCCCGTGTGCAAGGCCTCCACCCACATTCGCATCACGGACAACATGTTCTGTGCTGGCAAGTCCCGGGCACACAGGGCTGGGGCGACTGAGGCAGGCTTGTTTACTTGTTTACCTTTACTGTTCAGATGGAGGAAGGCTTTATAGATGCCAGGGGCTTCAAAGCGCTCATGGGAAAATGGAATGAAAAGACTGTGGAATCTTCCCACATAACCATTGGAAATCCTCTCAAAGGGGAATACATTCTCTAGACATGAAGGGGGCTGGGGCTGGGGGTGGGGATGAGGGGCATGCACAGAGCTAGTGGGGTCAGTTACAGGTAATTGTAGTCAGAGGGAAAGGCTATGCAGGGGCACATGGAACAGAAAGAGTTGCGTTTGCTGTATAGCCGAGTCCTGATTTGGGTGAACGTTTACAGAGCAATTTCATTTTCTGTTTGACAATGTACCAGCTTTGTTTTGAAACATTAGTTGTGAGCCTCTCAATGTAACAGCACTCAGCACCCCCCACCCCTTCATTCATTCATCCTGCCCCTTCCTGCACTGAGCTTTGTTTGGGGGCAAAAGTTGGCGACCTGTTCTTGGAGAGGTCATCGTCTGGGTGTACTCGTCAGGAGTGGCACTGTTCCCTGGACAGCTGTTTGGTGCCTGCTGAAAGGCAAGTCCCCAGAGGAGGGTTCAGCTCCAGGTTTCAAGGTTGTCTAAGGGCCACGGCCTCAGGGGTTCCACTAGTCTCTTTCAGACTAGTACGTCTAGTTTCTTTCAGACTTTTGAATTTTGTCGTCCATTTTTCCAATTTGTCGTCCCTTCTTCTGTCCAGCACCTTCTGTGGTCCTGGTTGGCACAGTCAGTACTGGTGGCTGGGCACTATCTAGTTCTTCCCATCTTGGGCTCTGGTGCACAAGGTCCATTAGTCCTTCAGACTGTTTCCTGAGTCTTTGATTTGCCTCTCTCCCGTAGACAGGGCATCTTAGATGGGCGCTTGCTAGAAGACCACAGTAGGACGTACATTGTCTTTGTGGACTGCATTATGCCAGATGTTCCTCAAAGTTTGTGGTCCCAAGTCCCCAAGCCATGACTTATTCCTTTGAAGGTACTGGGTGATGGCCAAGATGTTTTCAGGTTACCCTGTTGGCTCAACCATATACGTTTGCAGTACCCTCTGCCTGTGAGTGCAGTCCCATTGCCTTCCCACATCTGATCCGCTGGCACGTCCATCTGTGTATCCGTTGGTAGACTATTGTGTGGTATTAGATAATGCAGGACTGTGTACGTAACAGGAGTTACCTTTGCTGTCTGTGCCTCTTTGGCACCTTGGACTGAAGCATGTTAAGAGAACACACCTGGGTTTGGGTCCTGGGTTTGGTTACTTACTAACCCGATGGATTTGGGCAAATTGCTTAAAACTCCTGAAGCTCAGATTGGCTGAGGTAGCGTATGTAATGTTTGGCTTGGTGCTAGCCACTGAATGGTGAGCTCAAGATAGCAGGAGAGCCTCCTCCAGGAGACCCAGGGGATGGGAATGAAGGAAAAGCCATCCATCCATCCAATCATTCAGCAGATATTTACTGAATGCTTTCTATGTATCCCAGGCAATGTTTACACCAAGGACCCAGACAGACACTGCCTGTCATCAGAGAGCTTCCTTCCATCCTTCTGAGAAAACATTAGCCCACAGCACTAGACCTTAAGGCCCAGACGCTGCTGAGAGAAATGAAGCAGAGGGAAGCAAGGAGCGATGGGTGCTCTGAACGGAGGGTTCCAGCAAGCCTCTCCAAGATGTCTTGAGCAGAGATGGAAGACGTGAAGGAGTGAGCTAGGCACCCCTGGGGGAGGCACACTGCAGGCTGAGATGAGAGCAGGGCACAGGACCTGTGGTGGGAGCACGCATGCTGCAGTGGGAGTTTGAGAATCTGCTCGGAGGCCTGTAAACAAGGAGAGGTCACTGGGGCTGAGGGAGGGTGAATGGGCAGAGGCTGGCCCTTGAAGGACCTGAGTGAGCTGGGATGTGATCGGAGGACTTAGAGCAGGTGAAAAAAATGTTTTAAACCTTTTAAAATGTAAACAGTTAAAATTCCACAGGCGTCAGTTATATGATCTGTGCAGTATTATTCATTTCTGACCCAGAGAAAAGATGCCATGATTTTCTGTATACTTTCACCTAGCTGCCACTTCTCTATGTATGTATCCATGTGTGCACATGCATACATACGTGTCTGTATAGGTAGAGATGTGTATGTGTATGTGCATGCTATGAAGTCGATTCCAGTCCTTAGTGACCTCATATGCCTGGGTGGGACTGCGCCCTCGGCTTTGCTGGGTTGTGATCATTATGGAAGTAGACTGTGACTGCCAGGTCTTCCTACCGCAGAGCCACTGGGTGGCTTTGAACCACCAAGTTTCTGGTTAGCAGGCAAGTGGTATCCACTGCACCATTGGTCCTCTTTGTGTATATGTGTGTGGGTGTACTTACTCGTACATAAGTGTATACACACATACATACCCACATATTGTTTGAGAATAAATGGCACTTAGGATGTCTTTTTGTTGGGCATGAATAAGGAAGACTGAAGAATCAATGCATTTGAATGATGGTGCTGGGTGAAGACTATTCAAAGCACCATGGGCTGCCAAAAGAACAAACAAATCTGTCTTGGAAGAAGTACAGTCAGCCAGCATGTTCCTTAGAGGCGAGGATGGCGAGGCTTGTCAGGAGAGATCAGTCTCTGGAGAAGGACGTCTTGCTTGGTAAAGTAGAGGGGCAGCAAAAAAGAGGAAGACCTTGGACAAGAAGGTTGGACACAGTGGCTGCACAGGCAGGCTCAAACATGCCAACAATGGTGAGATGGCTCAGGACCAGGCTGGGTTTCAGTGTGCTGTGCACGGGATTGCTCTGAGCTGACACAGACTCAACAGCACCCACCCCCTGTGTGTCCCTAAACGCTTGAGTATGTATTTTTAAAAGACGAAACACAAAGATGCGCTTATACAACTCCAGTAGAGTTAGGAAAATCAGGAAGTTACTGATACAATACTCTTACCTAACCTGTAGCCCTTACTCAACATTGCCAGTTGTCTGGCTGGTCTTTAGTAGCAGAAGGAAAGACATACCTTGCCAGGATCCCACAGTGCAGTCCGCTCCCTCGCTTGTCTTTCTTAGTCTCCCACGACCTGGCCATTTGTCTGGAGCACAGGCAGCTGATTCTGAAGTGGGTTCACTTTCCTCAGGCTTAGCTTTAGCCCAAGTGCCAAAGGGCCTTTCCTCACTGGTGACAGGAACTCATCACCGGATGGAGCTGGTGGTTGCCAGCCTGCTCCCTGTGTGAAACGTCCTGCTTTTCCCATTGCCATGAGTGCCCATCTGGTGGGAGACCCATTGGTGCTGCCCCTCTCCCTTCTGAACCACTTTCTCAGCGGTGGTGGCCGCCCAGAGGGCCTCTTCTCAGCCTTCTATGGATTCCACACCAAACTCAGCGGCATCGAGTCAGTTCTGACTCAGTGACAGAGCTCACCCTGTCAGTTCCCAAGACTAAATCTCTACGGGAGTAGAAAGCCTCATCTTTCTCCGGAGGCTGGGGGCTTTGAACTGCTGACCTTAGCAGCCCTGCCAGTCACGTGCTATGCTGCTAGGGCTCCCAGCTATGTGGATTAGCTGGCATTTTATTCCAAGGGCGAGTTTTCTGCTCATCCCTGTGGACTCATCTTGAAGCTCCAATTCTTCCAGATCTGGCCAAATTTGTTTTTCAAACTTCTGGAAATGTTTCTCTATTCTTTAAGTATTTCCCGTTCAGCCCAGTTTTCCTAGCTGTGGTCTTGGGCTCAGCCATTTCTCCAAAGAGTACGCTGAGTGGAGATGGTATTAAGAAACCAAGATGGGATGTGAGGTGTGCACGCTGCTTGCTGAGATGCCATAGCTCTTAGGCCCTCTCAGCAGACAGAAGAACTAGGAAATGGGTGCACTGGACAGATGTTCATATTCTGTCGTTGTGCCCCTTTCTCCACATGCTTGTTTTTACTTCTTGTTGGATGATGTGTGTTCAGTCTTAAAAGCCATAGGTGTGTAATCAACAAAGAAAGGTGGACGCAGAGGTGAACTCTCCGTCCCATCTCACACTCACTGGCGTGGTCTCCTGAGGGGAGGGGCTGGCTGGTGAGCTGGGCTCCTCTGACAACCTGCCTTCTCTCTCAAGGTTACAACCAAGAGGAAGGGCTAAGAGGGGATGCTTGCGAAGGCGACAGTGGGGGACCCTTTGTCATGAAGGTAAGCTTCTCTAGAGCCCTGGGACCGGTGGGTAGGTCTTTGGGTAGGGCTGGGTGGTGGTGGTGGTGGTGGTCGGGGGGGCGGGCACCCATTTCTGGAAACAGCTGCCTGCCAGGGTACTCTGTAGGCCCCTAGGACTGACTCATGGGAGCACTGTCTTTCTTCCTCAGAGCTCCTTCAACAACCGCTGGTATCAAATGGGCATCGTCTCGTGGGGGGAAGGCTGTGACCGGGATGGGAAATACGGCTTCTACACACACGTGTTCCGCCTGAAGAAGTGGATACAGAAGGTCATCGAACGGTTTGGGGAGTAGCGCACCCCCACATCCTGGGCTCCTTAATGGCAACACCACAGAGATCAAGCCAGTTCAGGGATTATTTCTGTTGCTTGGTTCTAAAACTAGAGTTCTCAATAAAATAATAAACTAAGTCTTTTTAATGAGCCTCAGTGCCCCAGGGGGGCTCAGGGAGACCCCATCGTCACTGGCTACCAAGAACATTTGAGAAGTCACCCCCTGCAGGACAGGGCCCCAGGAGGGAGTGGGTAGTGTGAATTTATGAACACCTGAAAGGTTTACCTTTGGGCTTGAACTTGTCATCACACAGCTAAGGAGCAAGTCTAGGAGTTGACATGTGGTGCTGAGGCCAGGGTGTACTTTCAGTGGGTCTGCAGTGAGGAGTCTGTCCCAGGGCTGAGGGGACTGGGGGTGGTGGTGAGGGAGGGAAGGGGTATGAGAGATGAGTGACTCCATCTTCAATACCTTTCTAAGGCGGTTCCTACATCTGTCCTGAAAAAAACCCTTTCCAACTCCCAGGGACCTGATGGGCCCACCGGCAGAGCAGAACTGTCCCTGTGGGTCACCAGGAGCTTCCTTTGTTCTGAGGAGCATCTGGTGGGTTTCAACTGCTGACCTTGTGACTAGATGCCCTGTGGGTAGCCCAGGAGGAGGATGTCATACGTACTCCTCCTGAAAGGCTTAGTATTTGAGGAGGGAAAAGTCAACCTCTTCTGGAGGGACGCACATGGAGCAGTGGGGGAGGAAGGGGACATCTGTCTAGCCAGCCTGGTCAGTGACATCAACCGTGGCGATCAATAGGCCCTGACTGATGTTGCAACCCGACTGAGGTCAAGCCTCACGTCAAGGCACAGCATTCTTTGTGCTTCATCTGAGAGCACGATGGGACCTCGCAGCTGGGAGCACGGCCCTGGCATCAGATTACCTGAGCTCTTATGGTCTCCTGTCGTAAAGGCGGAGCCTGGCTTAGTTACCCAACCCTGGGGGGGGGGGGGGTTGCTTTCCTTATTTACATAAGATGGAATGACACCACTTTCCTCATAGGCTTGAGGGGATTAAGGAAGATCATTTACACAACCCTGCACGCGATGCCTACTACCGATATCTAGTACGCTGGGCACAAGCCACTGCTGCCTGGCAGGGTGGGCAGTCCTCTGCCGCTCTTCTCGGGCCCCTGCAAAATGCCTATTCAGGCAGGGTGTGGCTTGTCAGAATGCCTACTCAGACAGAATAGTCAGACTTGAGCCATCTGCTTTTGCATGACGTGGGAGCTTCAGGGTTTGCTCATGCAGGGCTTGGACAGTGTTGAAGCTTGTCGGAGGTTACTGGTCAGGCAAGGAGCCTGGTCCTAACCCCGTTGCCCTGAAAACGAGACTTTTCAATGGGGGCACTGGACACTACGGGCCACAGCAGGTCTGACAACGAGTTGATGGACTTGTGTGAAAATGCTCACCAATGGATACCAGCTGCCCGGAGGTCTGGGGTGCGAAGTCTCACCACTGAAGACAGGCTGCTTTGGGCCTGGGGCAGGGGACTAGTGGCCCATGGATCCCCGAGGGCTCCACTCTTGGCCTAGGATCTTCAACTAATGTGCAAGGCTGAAAGAACTTGACCACAGGCTGTTCGGTCACCTTGACTCCTGCCCCTTTCCCTTCTCCTCGTCCAGTCCAGCAGGAGAGAGAGAGAGGGTGAGGACTGGAGTCTACTGACAACGGTGTAGACACTACAGCTGTTGTGAACGTGTAGGATCTCAGCAGCCCAGAGCTTACAGTATATACTTGTGTGTAAGCCAAGTTTTTCAGCACATTTTAAATGCAATTTTTATGGTAAAATTAGGTGCCTCAGCTGATAGTCGGGTCTGCTTATACCCGAGTATACATAGTAACCAGAGGGAGGCCTGAAAGAGAATGCTTCTCAGGGATGCAAGCTCTGGGCACTTTGTATTTTTTTCAATTAGCTGTGCTCATGTCAGAGCCGAGAATGGCCACTCTTTCGCCTGTCCTTCTGCAGCCCAGAACTCAGCCCCCTTCAGCAGCCCTTCTCCCCCATCTCCCCGCTCCCCAGGTAAGGGGGAGGCAGCAGAGCCACCTGGTTCCAAGGCCTGCTGTTTGTTTTCCCTCCGCCTTCCATCTCCTACGCGCAGTGGAGTCAAAGGCACATTAAGATGGTCTGAAACATCCGTCAGCTGAACTAGACCTCTCAGTCCTGCAGGTCTGCGAATGGAGGAGGCCCTGTGAGGTGAAGGCAGGAGGTGGATGGCAGAGGTGAAGCCTCAGATCACATTTTGGTTTCCATCCCAGACTGAATGTGAAGCAACGGGTAGCCTGTCCCCAGACCCAGAGACACAACACACCAGGCCACAGCACCTCGGCTCCCCAGCGCCACTTCTGGGCCGGTCCCGGGGCCCTTGGGAGCTGTGGCGGTGATGGAAGTCACGACTAAAACCTCAGAACAGGAGGAGGTTTCTCTGTTACCCTATTAGATGGGTGCCTCCCTCTTTCCAAAGACTAAGCAAGGGCTCCTGGGTGTGAGCCATGATGGGCACGAGACAGGGTACAGGGGCTGGGGGTGGGCTGTTGAACACAGAGCCAACTAGCCTTCATAGCTAGCCACATAGCCAGCGTGTCCCAAGGCAAGGCGACAAAAAGAGCCACCTCAATGTGGGGCATCTTGGGAGGTAAGTACAGTTAATGCAAACTTTATTTACAGAAGACTCTTAAAATTAGTTGTATCATGCCGTGCATTCATACAGAATACAGTGACCCTTCAGGGTTACAGGGAGAGAACTCACAGACTCAAAGGTAAACCATGAAAGAGTCCTAATAGTTCAAAGCTAGGAAAGAGTTGGACAGCTTTACAAAGGAGAAATGAAAAAGACAACAAAGAAAAGGCGTGGACAGCTCACCTGCATGGAGAGGAGAGCAGCGATTGACCAGTCTGTACCCTACACTAATACACAGGCAGTCTCGGCGATCGAGGCAGGATGCTGATGGCGAGAAGCGGAGTATGTACAGACCTGTGCCCCGCCTACTCCTCGCCCTCACAGGATGGTACACATGGCCTGCTGGGGTCCGAGAGGCCTGCCGAGGCTGCCTAACCATGAGGACTTGCGGTTAGTGAGCTTGAAGGGTGGCGCCAGGGGAGAGGGCGGCTTCACTTGCGGCTGCTCTTTATTCTCTCCAGTCTCTTTTTCAAGTCATCGATGTTGGCTGTGGAGGAGGATGACGTGGTCACGGATCCTGAAGAGGGGGTCTGGTTCGACTCCAGGTCCGAGTGCTGGTGCTGCTCCCGGGACTCCCGGAGCTGAGAGAGTTTGCTGTGCAGCATGTCAGTGGAGGAGACAACGGTCGGGACTGCTGGTTTCGAGAGCAACGAGGTCAGCGGAGGCCGCTCATCTTGCTGTGGAGAGAAGAGGCGCTGTTAGGCCGGGTCAGACAGCAGAACCACATACCACGGCTGGGACTGTCCTAGGCCTGCCCTCCCAGGCCCCTGTGGGGGGACGCGCACAGTACCTTCGTGTTGTCCAGCCCACAGCGCTGCCGCAGAATTTTCAGCCTTTCCAGGTAGACAGATGGCCCCACCTCCTCTCCGTTCGTGTTACCTAGGGAGGGCACTGTGCTTGTGGGAGTGGGGATACACGTGACTTCCATTTGGGGGGAGACGCCTAGAGAGGAGAACGCAGGAAGCAGCGTCAGATACTCACTTCCCCACTAGACTGATGGCTGATGTGCTGCCCAACGGCACAGGAAGCCCTTCCTGAGGCCCCCTGGCCTGGAGGGGGGGCCCCCCAGAGCCGGAGGACTGCTGGAAAGGGTGCTGAGCACACCAGGTAGGCTGAGTGAGGACTCAAGGGTGAACACAGTGGGCAGATGGAAGCTGGGCCATCTAGCTACATCCAGGGTCTGCAGGGGGACTTTTCCATGATTTTCCATCGATTCTGGCCCAAGGAGCCTGGTGGTGCAATGGTTAAGCACTCAGCTGCCAGATGAAAGGCCAGTGGTTCCAACCTACCAGTCACTCTGTGGGAGAAGAGACTTCGCCATCTGTTTCTTAAGGATAAGTCTAGCAGCCCCCCAGGGGGCAGTTTTACTCTGTTCGTTAGGGTGTATAGGAGTCAGAATCAACTCAAAGGTCACTAGCCTTCACCACACTGGAGAAGCCCCACCTGGAGATCAGGAGGGGGGTGAAGGTGGACTCTTCGGCATGTCAATGGCAGGGCAAACAACGATGGCAGCACAGGGTCATTACGAAGTGAAGAGTAAGAAGAATACGAGACCAGGGATCGAACCCTGAGGAGCAGCACTACTATGAGGTCAAGGGACATGAGGAAGCAGCCAACAACAGCCTTAAGGATTTGGTTGTGTGTTACAGATATCAATGCTGGAATCCTAGTCGCTGTGCTGCTGGAGGGGGCCCATGTGGGAAGAGCGTTTCTTCCGTTTGCTAATGAGGCCACAACCCGGTGGGACGTGTTTAGGCCTCTGCAGCTGAGCTAGAAAGAAACAAGAGGGCACAAAGGAGGAAAGCACACAGAGACCTCTACGGGACACCGAGAAGAACGCTAAGCATTTTCCCCAGAGAAGACAGCAAGAACCTTCGAGAGCTGTTACCCGGAACTCAGCCGTCTAGCCTTCTGGCCTATGAAGAAATTGAGTTCTGTTTGTGCAAGTCAGCCACTTGGGACTGACTGTTAGGGCAGCCTTAGAAAATTATGAGACTAAAAAAGACAGTAAAGGAGCAGTTCAACCAAGATAGTGTGGAGAAGATGGAGAGCAAAGCCAGATGAAGAAATGACTGTCCAGGACTGATGGTGAGTTCATCAGGGTGACAGGGAACTGAAAACAGGAGGTAGCAATGTGAAGAGCACTGGTGACCTTGACCTTTATCCATATGAACTTACACTAATCAGAAAGCTAAATTCTTGGGTTTATTCCTAGAGTTCATTGGGGGCCGAGTGGCAGAGACCTTGCCCACCACTTGGGATCCCTGGGTCAATTCTCAGCCATGTACCTCATGTGTGCTGCTACAATGCTGAACAGGTTTCAGGGGAGCCTCACGACGAAGACAGACTAGGAAGAAAAGCCTGGTGAGCTACTTCCAAAATTCAGCCAGGAAAAACCCTAGAACTTACAATGACATGATTTAATCATGAGGAGGGCACACGACAGGGTGGCGTTCTGTCCCACTCTACAAAGGACTGTCATGAATTGGAAGCCGACTCAGAGGCACCCAGAGACAACACTGAAGAGTCCATACCTGTTGAAGTGGGAATATGACCTTTGCCCTCTCTCTCCATCTCAATCATCCGAAGGCCTCTCTCCACATAGTTCTGGAAGAACTGTGAGGAGTTTTTTAGAAACGGTTCAATGTCAGCATCCGAGTATTTCTTCTTATATTCATACAGCTCTGCCAGGCCCTGGGTAACAGGAAAAAGGCAAGGGTGGAGACGGAGGTTCATGATGGCCCTTAGGCACAAAGCAGACCTCAACTGAACTCTTTGCCTCTCACCTCTTTAGTGTTCTCTTTGGAGCCAATCTTCTTAAAAATCTCGGCTAAGAAATCGTTCACTTTGGCCTTCGATGATTTTTCATCCTGAAAGGTTGAAAGATACAAGGGAGAGCTGTTCACACTTCAACTGCGGACTACACATATGAGAATCTCAGACTCCAGATCTCCTTAGCCTGTTGCTGCAGATACCGGAAGCAAGACCACTAGACCCTGCAGCAGGGAGACGAACAATCCAGGTCACGGGCGCCTCCAGCCTCAGGTTTTCAACTACCCTCAGTGAAGGCAGCCCCGGCCCATTCTTTCCCAACTGAATAGGGCAGGGGTCCTCAAACTACGGCCCGCAGGCCACATGTGGCCCACTGAGGACATTTATCCAGCCTGCCGGGTGTTTTTGCCCTGTTTGGTTTTTTACTTCAAAACAAGATATGTGCAGTGTGCATAGGAATTTGCTCATAGTTTTTTTTTTTTAAACTATAGTCCGGCCCTCCAATGGGTCTGAGGGACAGTGAACTGGCCCCCTGTTTAAAAGTTTGAGGACACCTGGGCACGCAGTAGATTTAGCTGATGACCATACATAGAAGCTTCCCTTGGGGACCAAGAAGCACATGCTATGAATAGTTTACATTTAAAACATTTCACCGCAGAACTGGTTACAGAAGGAGCATGATCACACCGGTCCCTGACCTTCACCATAGGCCCAAGGAAAGACAGCCCAGCTGGCAGATGCCTGAGACGGCCCACGGCCAGTGCGACCCCATCTCCCTCAGTCTCTCCAGTCGGGACACTCACTATTCGAGATGCTCCCTTTTCGGTTTCCTTCTCAGACTTGCTCCCACTCTGGTCCATACTGTGTTTCATCATCCGGCAGAGGTGGGCCTCCAGCTCAGACTCATTCTTGTTGTCAATCATTGTGAGGTGGTCTAGGATCTGAGGGAGGGAGACACATGCACAAGGTCAGTGCTAAGTGATGCCCGTCCAGGATGTTTTCTTAAGTGTGCTCAGTGACCTGTCACCATTCTGGCTCACCTTGGGCCCTTTTAATTTGCATAATGTATGCAGCAGGGTCTTTAAGGTCCTTATGGGTAATTCACTTTTGCACTGCTTCAGTTTCTCTTTGGGGAAGACCTTCATGAAGATGTGTATATCCAGAAGAATTCTGTCCAGGTTAATGCTGTTGATGGTATCCGGCAAGAGGCGAATCATTCTCCAGAGACACTATTGAAAACAGAACCAGTGTTTACAAGGAGTGATTGCGAAATGGGATCCTTTCTGTCACCATTCTTCTGCTCTAGGCGATGGGACCACTTCCACACGATGGTGACACACACCAGCTCTTGCAAGGTCAGTGCTAAGCGACTCCAACCAATCATTGCCTGCTACGACACATTATCATCTATTCTCCCATCCTTCCCTCACTGAGAAAAGGACCTTAAATGATTGCGAACATGCGGAACTTCTGCCTTGGGTGTGCTTGGTACAGATTGCTAATCACACCTAACCCGAGGAGACACTTAGCATATACTTAGACAGTGCACTGTCACTCTTGTGTGCCATCAAGTCAATTCCAACTCAGTGACAGTAGAACTGAACCAAAGGCATCCCTAGGCTGCAATCTTTTTTTATTTTTATTATTTTACTGGGGGCTCGTACAATTCTTGTCACAGTCCATACATACATCCATTGTGTCAAGCACATATGTACATTTGTTGCCCTCGTCATTCTCAAAACATTTGCCTTCTACTTTAGCCCTTAATATCAGTTGCTCATCCACCCCCCCTTCCCTCATGAACCCTTCATAATTCATAAATTATTATAGTTTTGGCTGTAATCTTTATAAGGAACAGGTCTCTGGGTCTTTTTTTGGGGGGTAGGGGTGGGGGCACTGTAATCTTTACAGGAAACAGATCTCTAGGTCTTTTTTTGGGGGGGTAGGGGTAGGGGCACTGTAATCTTTACAGGGAACAGATCTCTGGGTCTTTTTTCCCATGGAGCCACAGGTAAGTTAGCAGCTCAGCGCTTAACTGTGGCTGGGCTCCTTTTAAAATGCCATAGATAGACTTCCACCAAACAGTTAAAAACATACACATTTCTTACTGCACAGAAATGAAATCTGTCTCCAAAGAAAGTCATTAGCTTTTAAGGTGGGGTTTCAAACTTCTTGCCTTGTGAGTCTAGGAGAACTGTCAAGATATTAAAACAAAAAAGCTCTTTCTTTTTACTCTTTAAGGCCAACGTGATTCAGGAATTGTTTAGGCATGACGTTGGGGCATGAACTGGAGAAAGAGAAAATTGAAAGACGGAGTATTTCTTCAAATGAAGGCCTGCTTGATTTGTAGCTATGCCTTATCCCTACCCCTCTCTCCCTGCACTGTAACAAAGAAATGAAATGGAGTGATTCCCACAGTACCTTCATGACAAGCTCTGAGAACCTGGGAGAAGTGGCCGTTGCTAGCAGGCTGTCTTGGAGCAAAACCAGAAGGGCACTGGAAAGAGAAAAAACAATGGTCTAAGATTCAAATCTGCATTCCATCGAAGCTCTATAATTAAAAATTTACAGTACTCTTCGATGATATTGGATGGCTTACTGAGTTGTGGCTAGATTTAGCTTTTGCCTCAGGTTGGAATACCTTTGGTCCAAGGGGGAAAGAAGAGTTATAAATTGTGGTAGTTACATAAATTCACATCAAATATATATAAAAGGGTAGGGGTGCTATTCAACCTGTCAATTAGGGCACTAGCTGATAGTGCCTCCTTGTGGGTGTGGCCTTCTCATTAGGAAGGCCCTGGGACCTCCACTGCCCTCTTTCTGGTCTTCATCTTCCTGCTGGCTGGCCCTGGTTGCTGCAAGAGCTCTGGGATATGTCCACCGCCATTGGATCCACAGGACTCTGCACCCACCAACCTGTGATCTTCCTGCATTCTGCATTATTGCATGTGGCTGTGTGAGCCTGAAGAGGGGCTTAGGGATGAGTATTGAACTGATGGACTTGAGTTGGACAGGGCTGGGATGCTTTTTCCTCGATATGTAATGACTTCTTGTCACTGGATGTGTTTCCCTAGCCAGCCGGCCTAACACATAAGGAACTTATGAGGCAAACATCAAGTTACAGTGGATGTGGTTTCTAGGTATGACAAGAGAGAGCGTGAGTCTATGTTCTAATGCTGAGCAAACAGACTTACCTCAGAACATTGGTCTGATCTGATTTCTCCAGAACCTTCACCACCAAGAGGTTCACAGAGCGGATCACCTGTTGACCTTCCTCTAGCTCTTCAATTCTGGAGTCCAGCATTAAGGTGATGAGGCCATGCATCAGATCCTTCAACACTCCCGTGGAGGCCTCCCGGGCGAGGCTCTCTATCTGAAACAGCTACCCAGGCACAACTGTGTTTAGGTGTGTGGAGTAAGGAAGATAGAATTTGGGTGGCATGCTTTTTTTTAAAATAATAGGAATTCATTTGTTGTGAATAGGAATCTGCACAGCAGCACAAAACCTAGTTCCATGGTTTCTCCATGTACAAGTGTGTGACATAGATGACAGTCTGTAAGTTGTGCAAGCATTCTCATTCTCCTGTTCGGAATTCTTCCGCCTCCTTTATTTTCTGTTTGTTTGTTTTCTTCCTCCTCCTTTAATGTAAACACACTGCCCCTGAAATTTCCTATCTTTCAAATTGCTGCTGTCATCTGAGGGTGGCATATCTTAATACATATTTAACCATATATTCTTAAAAAAATCAAAGTATTGAAAAAAAAGCAAGGTATTGAGAAAAAATAAAGATCACACAATCCCCCAAAGCTGTGATAACCAAAACTAACTGAATTGTCTCCTTTGTTTATGAAATATACCGAATATGACCTGTGCAAATCCATCCCAGGTCCCACCATGCCTGAGGAAGAAACAGCCATGAACTGGAATTCTAGGTAGTCTGAAGCACTCTACTTTCTTTCCTAATGGCAAGGTTCGCTGCAGAATACTCCACCATTCAGTGGAAGTAGCCAGACTCCCTCTACCACATACGTCAATTCTACAAAGAGCCATGGGACTCTGGCAAATCTACACTGACCGGGCTTCGGAACTTGGCTGCAATGAGGGACTAGAGGGAAGGCTCGGTCTGCAGAGGTGTCCTTACCGAAATCATATTGCCAATGATACAGCTATACAACTTGATGATCTCATCCTTCTCCAACTTCTCATCTGCCATGTGTGTGTTGTAGATGAGTCTCAGCTGCATGAACGTGGCTATCAGAAACTGATCAATATGGCCCGACATAGCTTCGGCTTTGTCTTCCTGTCTCAGGACCTCATCAATCTGATAACAAAAAATCCAATATGTGTTTTCCAAGTTTTATATTTCTAAGTCGCAGGAGATAGTGCAAGAAAGTTCTCAAAGAGTACTTACAGGCAAACCTCTTTTAATATATTAGCGGTTGAAAAACCTAGTCACTTATATATATAAATAACCCATCTTTTCGGTTCCAATCATTCAACAAATACTTACTAAGATACTGTCAGGTGAATTAGCAGCAGATCCTGTGTCTGTCAATTCTTATGCATAAATGTTCACTTTGTAAGCATGCCTTTCTGCTTACTTTCTCATGTGATCATGTTCACAGCACTGCCAGGTAAATGGGGCTCATGTTCACATCTCCATTTACCAGATGAGAAAAGTGAGGCTCAGAAAGATGGGACTACTGATTCCAACATAAAATTCGGGTTTCCCACATCTTGCTCTTCTGGGTTCTGTCCATTGGTTGTCATAAATGGTAACATGTTACTATTTGCTACAGTAAAAATAGCTCTAATTTAAGATGAAATAAATAAGACACTGAGACAACCATTATCAATCTACAGTGACCACCCTGTCATAGAGGGCGGCAACAACATGTAACTTCAGAGGCCACTGAATTACACACCATATCCATGTTCCAGGAAGTGGCATTTTGTACACACTCATGGAATGGTGCCCCTGGATTTGTGGACCCTGCAGTCCTTTCATTCATCTCTTCACACATGTACATCCCATAAACCCACACATGCAATTTCACATCATTTGTAACAACACTGTTTCAACATGGAACACATAACATAATACTACCATTGTATGGGGTGCTTACTCTTTAAGGAACCTGGTTCGATGCTGGTGAACGCATCAAGAGTTGGCAGTTCAGACCTATCAGCCTCTCTGCGGGGGAGAGAGGTGGTAGCCTGCTTCCAAAAAGATTTATAGCCCAGGAAACCTTATGGTTCCAGTCTGCCCTATAGGATTGCTAAGTTGGAATCAACTCAAAGGCATTAATTTTAGAAAAAAACTATTATTAATTGGGAGTTAATACATATTATCATATCATTCAATCGTTCAATCACATCAAGCAGTATTGCCTAATTGCTACCACAATCAGTTTCCAAATGTTCTTTTTCCTTGACATTGTCTCTCTCTTATCCCCCACCTACCCCCAAACCCTTACTTGCTGTCCCTATAGGTTCATCAGTTAATCAGTTCTGGGTTTCATATATCGAAAAACATATACCACATAAAAAATTCAAGAGGGTGAGCCTCAATGACAAACACCTCTGAGATACACCCTCATACAAACAAAAACAAAACAAAAGTACAGAAAATGTTGAAAACCAGATGAGGTCCAGGGTGCATCAGATGGGGGATCAACTAAAAGTTTTAACTGCTTATCCCTTTAGTTTCCTATACTCATCTCTCCAATGCACTCCACTTTCCTCCCACCCCTCAATTATGGGTAGAGGAGATCAAAGGCATTAATTTTTGGGTGTGCGTGGCTTATGTCCCTCCTTTTCCCAAGGGGTAATTATCACCACCACCCTATACACATTGTTATGCTCGCAATCTCACATACATCCATGCACAGAGAGAGTAAGGTTTGGCATGCTGTCTACTGTACAAGAGGGCTGGCTACCTACAACATATACATTGCTCTCATATGATAGAAATTTATGAAAACCCCTAATGCCAACAGAACAATTCTTAATCAAAGACTACTTAATAATATGTATGCACCAAAATTTATTCAGCCATTCTCATATTGATGAACTTTCCTTTTTCTTTCTCCCAATAGTTCAATCACATTAAGAGTTGTACAATATCAGCACAATTAATTTTAGAACATTTTCTCCTTTTGTTGTACTCATGATTATTAGCTCCCCATTGCCCCTCCCCATCCCCTGTCATACCTCCAGGAAATCGTTAATCCAGTTAGTCTCTATAGATTTACCTATCTTAGATTTTCTACATAGAAAAACATACCCCCAAAAGGAAAAAGCAACAACCAAGTAAAACAGAAAAGCCACAGTTGAAAATAAAACAGAAAATATTAAAAACGAAAACAAGTTTTAAAATGGTCGAAAGGGTGGTCAAGCGCTAAGATGCTACATTTTAACCCAACTGCATCTGCAGTCATCCACTGTGCAACCCATGCCGGCCCGGCCCTGCTCTGAAGGAGGGATTCACTGGGGCTTAATCCATGGGTACTTCCCCTTCCCCTTTTTTGTTTTTAATTGAAACTTTAAATGGGTCAAGAGGGAGATCAAATGTTATTACATTTCAAGCTAACTTCACCTGCCATCATTGACTTCCCAATGCTCTCTGGTAACAAGGCTATTCACATCCTTTGACTCTGGTCAGAGGGGAGTCACAGGAGGCTTAATTCACGTGGAGATCCTGCAAATGAATTTTGGGTTTCCATTGTTATCCAGAGCTTTCTGCAAACCAGGTGTTAACCTCTGATACCACGCTTTCTTTGGATTTGGAGTTATTATTTACAATCCTTGGATCACACTGGCTAGTGTGTTTCTTCCACGTGGACTCGGTTGACCCCTCACTTAGATGGCTGTTTTTTGATAGCAGGGCAATATCTAGTGTCTTTGCCATTTTGCTAGAGCACTTAGTATCTTCAGTGATTTCTTTGTGAGGGAGAGCATTCTTGATGACCTTGCAGTGTGTTTCTACTTTGTTTTCCTTCAGTACAAATAATGTTGCAAAAACACAACTCTGTGTATGTGTATATACATGTGTGTTTGTATATGTGTGCACACACACATATGCATACATATCTGAAAGTGAAAAGAACATGAAGTACTTCCTGAAGAAAGTCAAAGACTACAGCTTTCAGTGTGAATTATACCCAGAATATAAAGAAAACAAAATTCCTTATAACTATGCCCACAGACACCATCATGCTGAAAAGAGAAAAGATCTACGTTATCAAGTGTTTCCCTTTACTTAAATCCACAATCAAAGCCTCTGACCGCAGCAGAGATCAAACAACTCATTGCATTGGGCATAACTGCTGCCAAAGATCTCTTTAAAGTGTTAAAAAAGAGGTCAACTCTGGTATTATTGTCAATCACCTCATATGCATATGAAAAATGTACAATGAATAAAGAAGACTTAATTACAGGGCTTCCAAAGAACACTGAACAGACACCACGGACTGCGAGAAGAATGAACAGGTCTGAGTTGGATTGGAGAGCACAGCAGCGGGCTTCTTAGAAGCAGGGTGCCGAGATGTTGTCTCATGTACCTGGGACATAGACCAGGGAAGACTGATTCCCGGAGATGGACATCAGGCTTGACAAAGGGTCAGTGAGGGATAAAGCGGAAGCCCGTCAACAAGATGGAGTGGCACAGGGGCTCAAACACAGCGATGATTCTGTTGTTGGCGCGGGCATGCGCAATGTTTCATTCTGCTAATTTACATGGGTCATTATGAGTTGGAACCAAGTCAATGGGCCCTAACAACACACAGACACAAGCCCCCTCACTCACTCACTCGTTCTTTCTCTCATGTCTTTATTCCTAAAAGAGCACTGAGTCTAATTATGGTTTAGTGGATATTACTATATTGCTTTCTAAAAACATAAAGGCACCAACTCACATTTCTGTATTTAATATAATACAGTACTTTCCCCAATATCTGTATCATTACTATCTGTCAACCTGATGGCTTAAACTGTTACTTTAATTTGTGTTGCTGTGTGTGAGGGGGTTTTTTGAGTATATTTTCACGTTTCATAAGGTCAAGTGGGCATCTTCTGTGATTGGCGAGTTGGTCACTTTTCTTTCTCAGAGTTTCTCAGAGCTCTATTTAGCTCTATTAGCCCTGTATCACATGGGCTGCAACATATTTGATAACATGTTATCAAATATGTTCATTCAGAGTATTTGATAACTTTCTCCAAATGAAAAACTTTACAAGTTTTTAAGACCAACAAGGTGTTCTCTCTTTAGGTTCTAGGTTTCTCGCTTTGTTCTTAATGGTCTCCATTTATCCCATTACACTCTTTAAAGCAAAAGACCATTCTAGAATCATCCACTGTTTAATTAACATTCCCCTCGTCTCTCTCCAGCCTGTAGCAATTTCTGAGTCTTTCCTTGCTACTTTTCAAGGTGGCAGACCAGCTACTTTATAAAATGTACTTCAATTTGCATTTTGCTGATGTGGTTTTTGTGATTAAATTCAAGTTATGGATTGTTAACAAGAATATTATCAGAGAGATGCTGAATTCTCACTGAATCGTTCCAGGGCATATGATTTCCCTTTGTCTCATTAATTATTAAGGTTATTCATTTTGATCTATTTGACTAAGGTATCTACCAGGCTTTTCTACTGTCTTGATTCTTTGCATTTTAAGTACTTTATAGGGAGGTGCTATGCCACTGTCTACATAGGGCATTTCTTTTCAAAGTCTTAATTGATTAATTATTATGTGCATGAGTTAGTGGTTTTTATTCAAAATTAAATTTTATTACATTTTAGTTGATTTATAACTCATTACTGTGCATGTTTATTTTGGTGCTCAAATTGTCCCCTCTTCAGAAAGAAGGTGCACTCCTGTCAGCCTTTGTCCCCACTGCTCTTTGAGCCTGTACTTGCTGTGTGGCACCAAGTGGTCTAGGCTTATCTTGTACTTTCTCTGGACTTCTTTCTTTTCAATGGAAACAGTATTTATTAGACAAATATCTGGTGTGCATGTTGCTCTTGGGGTGTTGCTGTGTCGGGACCTCTCAGTGAAAATGCTCAGGAATATATATTATATACCTTTATGCTTATAAGGTGTCCTATGTATGAAATACATTTGCATCTACATTCTTCTATATTGTAAACTATAAATTGGTATCTATGTATCTAATTCTGCTCCAACATCAGAGTTCATTCTGTTTGGTTCCCCTTCTCTATTTATAACTTGGCTGTCATCACCCTAATCTCTTTGTATGTTACCACGTGTTCACCTCTACCCCAGGCCTCTCCCCTGCAGATGAACTCTTCTCTTGCTTCAGCTCTAACTCATCATCAGAACCATCCGGCACTCCTGTGTCATCATCCCTCCTCACCCACTTGGGCTCTCCCTTGCCATGCCAAGATGGGCCATCTGCATGAACATCAACTTCATCCCACGTGGCCTCTGCCTCCCGGCCTGCACCACCCTTCCAGTATGCACTCCCTCCTCACAGTGTATGGATTCTGTGGCCCTCACACCGTGCCACCATGGCTCCTTGTTCCAATCTCCTTGCCACTGGATTTCTACTTTGCTCTGTGCCAACTAATATACTAGCGTTAGGGCTCGATTGTTGTAGAAGGGCAAAGCACACGTAGCTTTTCAAAATTCTTTAGTGATTTCCTATCACATTTAAAATCCAAATCAATTTACTCTGAGGGTCCAGAGCCCTACCAGAGCTGGACTCTGCCCAGCCCTCACACCTCATTCTGCACCATTCTCTGTACTCGAGACACACGGGCCTTTGTGTGCTCGTTGGCCTGGGATGGCCTGCAGAGCTCACCATGCCGTCTTTCTGTCCCCCCGAAAGCAAGTAACTACTCATTCTCTCTTGGCCATCTCTCCACGGTAGTTACATGTACACAGTCGTCATTACGCTCTTCTTTTTCTTTTCTGGTTCGTCTCTGTTTATTACCACCTGGGTATGTTACAAAATAGTTGGTGCCTCCACATTCACTGTTACACATCTGCTCTCTGGTGAGTGAGTGCAATTATAAACGAGTGAGGTTCTCTAAAAGAGCTATATCCATGTCAAGTGATGACTCTGAAAAGGTGCCTGTGCATTTATTCTTCTGTCATCAGGGTGACAGTAATGTTTCCCATATGCCCTAACACTATGAGTCCATCAGCGTACAACTCATTACTCTCACAGCCTCAACATCTAGTGCTGGAATCACTGTCGTGGGTAGCACTGCCATTACCTGCGTCAGAGCTTGGATGCTTGTGTTGATGTCACCACTCGCTACTTGGGAGATAATAAAATTGATCGTGGATGCTGTATTACTGTGCATGTCATCGAAATGTGGAGAAACGGCCCGGATCCTAGACAGCAGAGTAAAGGGGGAAAACTCAATCTCAGTGACAAGACATCTTTGTAAATAGGAATTATGCAAATCCCTGCTAGGTTTAGGTCTTAGCAAATAACTGCTGCAGTCAGGCAGTCAGTAACTCTAAAATGTCTTCACTGCAGACTGCCAGCAGAGTAGGATGCCTGGTGGCACAGTAGTTAAGAGCCTGGCTGCCAACACTGAAAAGTTAGTGGTGTGGACCCTACCAGCTGCTCCATGGGAGTAAGGTCTGGCAGTCTACTTCTGAAGATTTCTAGTCTTGGAAATCCTGTGGGGCAGTTCTACGCTATCACTATGAACTGGAATGGACTCGACACCAACATGTTTGGGTTTTTTTAATAGGCAGAGGGCTTTTTTAACATATGTACTCTGATGATGCGGGTGAACTGTTTAAATACACAAGAAGGAGTCTTACTTACTTGGGTTCAGGAATTAGGACCGGTTCAAAAATGTCATCTAGTTTGTGCTGGACAAGTTCGGGCATCTCACATCGGACTGTCCCATTGTCATTCTCAATCTCATCTAGATCCAGCTGGAATTCTCGGCGAACCGTCTGGGCTGCCTCAGGATGTCCACCCATGCTTCGGGCTTGGCTGAGGGAAACAAAGAAGGCTCCTGAACTAAAAGCGACTTCTTAACCAAAGGGCAAGCGTAGCACTGCCAGTTGCCCCAAAGCGTCAAGACAGATGTATAACGTCTGGTTTCAGCCCCCCTTGAGCCTAAGCAAGTGCTTTCAATGGCGAACAACACTGGTTCCTGCCTATACTGAGCAGAGAATCTGTCTTTGCAGAACCTGCCAGCTCAAGGTATTCGCTCTAGTTCACTAAAGCCAACAAACAGGATAGGGCAGAAAATAATAATACACATATAATACTTATGTTGACTTAGAGCTCATTTCTTGTGGACACAAATAAGAGAAAAATCTAGATGACTGGTTTCATCAAATTAACCAGTGTCCACATTTTTCTAATCTTATATATCTGCTACTTGGAGGGATAGTCATCTCTTCTCTTTAGGAATATTCACTCCAGGCAGGTCAGAGAAAGCATTACATCCAAATCATAGGTATTCCGTTTCCAAATTCAAATTGGTTAAAACTGTATCGATGACATAATCCAAAACAGAGCTGTCCTGCTAGGAGGGCAGTGTTTTGAGTCTTTCAGCCAATTCTGGGTTGCATGCGTTTTAGTTAGCCTTATCTCAAGAACATGAACCTACACACAACAGCCAAGCACAACTAACCTAAGGAACAGAGTGAAGCTGTATTTAGTCACGTGACACTGAGCTGTCATGTCTGCCAGTGGAAGGCTTGATTTCTGGGATGCTAACGGAGCCCTCCACCCTGGTTACATACTCTAAGCAAGAGGGGATGGAGTCAGAAGTAAGAAAGCTAGAAGAGCCCTGCTAATGAGAAATTAGCAGTCAGTACTTACATCCTATAAGTGCGATACATAATTCTGTCCACGGAAAGGCAGTGAAAGAAGGCACAAGACCATTTAGAAGTGGTTTTGAGACAAAGACAAAGACAATGAAGACTGAAGGATTAAACAGTTGATTACAAGCCATTTACCCAGACGCTCTGTCATGCACGATAATGGTTACAAGAACTCAAGACTGTGTTACGAGACAAGCTCTGAGCACATAAGGCAAGTCCACAGAGACACTCTTGGACCACATTCTCCATTCACGTACTTGAGCTTGGAGGACATGTCTTCAGCTGGTCCCTTGCGTAGCACGTTGGCATTGGAGCTGGTGTTCTGTGTACGCTGTGGCTTCTCGTCCACCTGTTTTACTGGGGCCACAGAAGGCCTCTTTGCTGACCGCTTAATCCTTTCCTCGAGCATGCTCATATCCTTCTCAGAAAGCTGCAATGAGGCCACAATTAAGGCATTTGCACACCCCTGTACTAGAACGTGAGAATTAAATAGCTACTTGCAGAACTCAAGAATACATGTCCGTTTTCTGACTAAGAGAACTGACAACATTAGAACATGTTTACTTCCAAAACACTGTCTACATCTGGAAAGCAACCATGGCTAATATCCGACTAGCTGTAAGAACACCTATGAAAGAAGAAAACCACGACTAAGTTAAAAGGTCAGAAGATTAACAGATGCTTTGTTTGTTGTGAATACAGGCAATAAAATGCTCCCCGGCTTCAGCGCCTTCTCTGGGTAGTAGTGAGGATTTAATTGTAGAATGCAAATGAAAACCTTCTAGCACAGTGTACATACTTGGATACAGCACAGTATAAATACGCAGAGATATGAAGAGGCAGCTGAAGTACAGAAATGAGCTGCAGTCACGACTGGAATTAGACATGTTGTCAGTTCTCTTTGCTTAGTGAACTTAGTGACTGGCTCAGAGGAAATAGTAATTCAAGGCAGAACTTAAGGGGCTTGGGAAATCTGGCTAATGGCTGTAGTACAGGACTTTCTTTCAAAAGAGCTCTCCTCTCTGGACAGCAATTGGTAGGTGTAGATGCTCAGGGAAGAAAACATGATTTTTCAGTACACTCTAAGCCTAAATTGGCCTCTGATAGTCAGGGGGCACCCTCCATGATTTACCTGGGTTCTAGGGCAGACTAATCAGTTGAGTTGAATAAAAAGGGGTAAAAATTTCGATCGAGTTGAGATGGCATGAAAGCTGACACCTATGAGATTTTTGGAGTTCTCACAACACACTGCCAATGCTCAAAAGAAGAGTCACTCACATTTCCTATCAGCTTGAACACTTGATCGCCATGTACGTTGTACACCGTTACAATGGTATTAAGTGCAGCATTGCGTACAGCGTTGTCTCGGTCTCCTATGTGGATAGCTATCTCCTTTAAGGCTTTTCCTGGAGTTGGTTGGCAAACGTTCATGCCATAGGACTCAACCAGACACCCCAACTCTTCTAGGCACTCTGTTGGGAGAAAGGCTACATTAATGACAGACTCAGCACATCTTTGGCAGACAATTGGTCTTCACTGGATTATTTGGCTGTGTGTAAGTGAAAGACTAAAACTGTCTTCCAGTTCGGTCTAGAGTTTTTGCTTGTTTACTGCTACCACCTTTTTAAAAAGCAGAGTAAAACAATGGTGCTGTAGCAAGTGCTCTTGAGAGAAAGGGATGCCAGTGAGTCAGATGGCCCCTGTGCACATGATTTTGTCACCAGGGTGGTACTGAGTGGCGCCTGTATCACCTGATACTGTGGCTCCACCAGTGTGCAACTCATCACTCTCACAGTCCATATCAGAGGCTGGAAGCAAAGGACACAGATTCCAGACAAATGTTCTTCATTTCTAAATTTTCCTTTTTAAGGGGTCAATTTAAATGAAATCCTTCACCTGCTCTCTGTTTAGAGTTTTTGGATTTCGTTCCTTCCATGATGAAAGGGAACATCTTGCTGGCTGGGTAGACAAGGCACATCCGGTTCAGGATGGCACGGACGTCTTTACGAATGACATCCTTTGGCTCTCCAACCTAACCAACAAGGAAAAGAATGATTAGGTGAATGGCACTGGCCCTTCTCTCATGCAGACCAGAGGCGTGGGCAAGAGAGGCCGAGGGCGTCTCTAAGACATGATACATGAAAGTGGGAGAGGTCAGCTGGGAGCTTGAGCAGTATTCTACAGTGAGACCACTATGTTACCTTGAGGATGAGATAGGGGATGAAGGAAGAGGCTTCATTCTCAGTGAGATGGTACTCCTCCTCGCTTAGCAGGGTGAAGAGTAACTTTAAATATTCCAGGGCTTTCATTAGGACGCTTGTGTTGGTGTCAAAAAACCGCAGGGTAAGCCATTTTAAGATAAGATCCAGGCAACCAATGACACCTTCTTTTTCACTCTCCAAATGCTTAAAATAAAGAAAACAAAAGCCTCATAAATAAGATTATAGAAAAGCTGAAGTTCTATTAGGTTAGTTAAGTACTTCTTAAATTCTACTGGAGCTCCAAAAGAAAATGATGGGTTAATTTAAGACCTAAAAATTCTAGACACAGTCACTTGTTCTATTAAAAACAAAGACAGCTCTAAAAAGAGTGAATATGGTATCTATCCCACTTCCTTCTGAAATCAAACAAACTTCTGACTCACAGAGATCAGTGCATTTGCATGCCTAAGGCAAGTGTGTAGTTATCGACTGTAAACTTACATCAACCATGACAGCTAGAGCTTTGTTATGATGCTGGAAATCTGAGTGAAACATCTCATCCTGTAGCCACTTAGCGACACAGTTAGACATTTGCATCTTGAGCTGCTCCATGTACTCATCCCGGGGAGTGGTGAAGTTCCATTTCAGCACCTGAGAACGAAACACAGTACAACAGTGACAAGGAGCTGTACGCTGGCCGGCTGGGGCTGCCCTGGAACGAGGAAGAGAACCCTGCTTAACACAGCTCCAGGAAATCAATTCAACAGGTGACCGTCAAACGTAACATGATTCATTTCTAATTATAGATCAAGGCAAAATGGACCCGCAAGCTGCTGCATTTCATGAAGTTTAACAAATATGAAAATCTTTTAGGCATACAATTTTTAGTAATTCCTACTAGAAAAGTCAAATGATACAATTATGTACAACCCTAGTGGACACTTCCAAGTCCAACTTTAATAGAGCAATTTTTGAAATATCCACCAAAATTTAACAATACATATACTGGAGAACTTAAATATAAATACTCACATATGTGCACAAAGATTTACTTACAAAGGTGTTTATTGCAATGTAATTTGTCATAGTGAAGGACTAGAAACAACCAAAGCCCTCAACATAGTTGGATACAGAAAGGTATATACATACAATGTACCAATAAGTATAACACATACTATATGCTAGGCATTGCTAATTCAGCTACTTTTGTAATATAAATATATGTAGAGCCATGATTTTTATTATCAAAAGTTAAATGACAAAAAAAAAAAAAGTTAAATGACATCTATGGTATATAAAACCGCCAAATCTGTCTTTCAGGATGCTGGGGTACAAGGTGTCCAGAAGGAGCCTACTACTATGCAGGAGTATACTGATAACAGCCTATGAACATATAGTTTGTTCTAAAAATTAAAATAAACAAAATCTCAAATTCTTCCTATCTGAAAAAAATTCTTATTTGTTCAGAGGAAATAATAGGCAATAGCTCCATTTTGTAATCTTTTTAGGAATTAATACTCTCATAAAATTGTCTTAGAGAAACAAAATGTAATTCACAAGCAAAATATTCAGTTAAACATCAAAAAACTTCATACTGATTTGAGTTTCAAACGGCAAAACTATTTTTAACAAAAACTAACTAGCTTGAAACTATTGAAGTTTATTTTGCTCTTCTTACCTTCAATCCTTTTTCGTCTTTCATTCTCTGCTCCTTTCCGTTTGGAACAACAATAAAAATAGGACCAGATTTGTCGTCTTCCTCCTTTACGCTTGTTTTGCTTGGCACTTTCTTCCCTTGTGCGTTCTACAATCAGGGGTCAGGGAAGCTTGATTAGATGCTGCTGCTGCCCAGGAAAAGGGCACTCTATACAACAGAGACTCCTCTCTACAGGACCGTTCACGCGAAAGACACATGAGCCATAGAATCAAGTATACAACACTATGCTTCTGTACATGTTCTCTCGAAATGTTCCAAATAGCACTCTTTAAAAAAAAAAATCATTTTATAGGGGGCTCGTACAATTCTTATCACAATCCATCCATCCATCCATCCATCATGTCAAGCACATTTGTACATTTGTTGCCATCATCATTCTCAAAACATTTACTTTCTACTTGAGCCCTTAATATCAGGCTCCTCCTTTTCAACCCTCCTACCCCACTACCCCCTCCCTCATGAACCCTTCCTAATTCATAATTTATTATTATTTTGTCGTATCTTACACTGTCCGACGTCTCCCTTCACCCACTTTTATGTTGTCCATCCCCCAGGGAGAAGGTTATGTGTAGATCCTTGTAATCCGTTCCCCCTTTGTACCCCACCTTCCCTCCACTTTCCAGGTATTGTCACTCTCAGCACTGGTCCTGAGGGGTTCATCTGTCCTGGATTCCCTGTTTCCAGTTCCTATCTGTACCAGTGTGCTTCCTCTGGTCTAGCCAGATTTGTAAGGTAGAATTGGGATCATGATAGTGTGGGGAGGAAGCATTTAAGAACTAGAGGAAAGCTGTATGTTTCATCGTTGCTACCCTGCACCCTGACTGGCTCCTCCCCTCCTTGCAATCTTTCAGTAAGGGGGTGTCCAGTTGCCTACAGATGGGCTTTGGGTCTCCACTCTGCACTCACCCTCATTTGCAATGATATGATTTTTTGTTCTTTGATGCCTGATACCTTCAACACCTCGTGGTCACACAGGCTGGTGTGCTTCTTCCATGTGGGCTTTGATGCTTTTGAGCTAGATGGCTGCTTGTTTATCTGCAAGCCTTTAAGGCCCCAGACGCTATATCTTTTGATAGCCGGGCACCATCAGCCCAAATAGCATTCTTACGTAAATTGCTGCTTAGTCCTGGTAATGGCATATAATGTGGCTGGGAAAACTGCCATTACTATCACTAGCCTGGGTCACGGACTATTTTTGTTGATTGTATAATTCTATTCTTTCTTGAAATCTTTAGCTTTACTTACAAGCTTTCCATATTTGTAACATTTGGAATGACATTTGCACCTCTCACATCACTTGGCTGAGACCCCGTTTCGGTCTCTCTATATTTAAATGTATCTTTATCACATTAGTATCATCTGAGATGCTTTGGCCTGCTTCGAGGGAGAGTTGCAAGAAGTATTTTAAGTAACTAAGCCATGACAGTGGTTTTATGAAATAACTAAAGATTTATCATATTTGATTCAGACAGAAAGAATATAGTAAACACTCAGGCTCTCTAGTTAAAGTAATAGTTGAATTAAAAATGTAGCAGGAGTTCACTATTTCTAGTTGGTCAGATTTTTTTCTTCTTCTAGTTCAGATACCAAAATCATTCAATTGAAACAAATATGAAAACATGTATGTGAAAATGCTTTGTAAACTGCAAACGGAAGGAAGGTGTGACAAGGTACGACATTAAAAGAGTTGAACAGATCACGGTATTAAGGACTGTTGAATCGGGTGTGGACACGAGGGCGAGGCGGAAAATAACAGCTTCAATGAAATGTTAGCTGGTAATGACTCACTCAAACCAATTCACTGAGCAACAGACTGGAAATGCATACGAAAGAAAACAAGTCATTGTAACATTTAGAAGAATGGCCAGAGTGCCCATACTATGAAGGAGTGTGACTCCACATGTCCTGGGAAAAGAAACAGTTTTCACCCACAGGCACACACACACACCCTTTTACCAGGTACATGCAGTTAGTGAAATAACTTTCTCTATACTTATTATTAGAATTCCACGAATTACTAATTCTATAATTTTCCTTTTGCAAAAATAATCACTTCTGTGAACACAGTAACAAGTTCTGAATTTCGGTAATAGAAATGGGTGACAATTTGCTCTGATGCAAAAGTGGAATTATACTGAAAAAGACCCCGTGGAGAAATTTAGAGATGCGCACCCGGACAGGAGTCCTTTACTACATTCACTCCGTGTGTGTGCTGAAAGCATTGGTGCTGCACTGAGAGGGAGCACATATGACTTTATGTTACCTTTTCCACTGAGGTTTTCTATGTTTTGTTTTGCTATTGATTGTTTTTCCTATTTGTTTTTTATATATTTTTCTTTATATGAAATCCAGGGCAAGTAAATTTATATAGGCAGTCAGTGGATCAATAATTTTTTGGTGCATGGCAGGGCAGGTTTGGGGGAAATGGGGAGTTAACAACGAGTCCTAGGAAGAAGGTGCTCTACAATCGATTATAGTGATGACTACGCAGTTCTTTTTAATATGCTTGACCTATGAAGCCACATGTTTCCACATGTCAATAAAGCTGCGAAAAAGAGACATTTTCTTGCAGAGGAAATCAGGACACTTTCCAGTAAAAGGATCTAACTGTACCAAATTTAAAGGAAGCCAATTTCCTGAAATCTAAATCAATCTTATATATTTGTTCTATCACACCTACATAAAAATTTGCTCTGCGCTCCTGCAGATTTCCACCACCCGCCCCCAAAGATCGGAGTGACAGAAATTATGAAAGTATCTCTTTAGGATGAGATGTCTGGTTTAAGGCTTATATTAAAAATGAGCCACAAAACACTTGTATACACATAATTTGATAAGATCATTGATGGCAATGTTCTTTCACATATCGCATCTTTCCTAATAGTACAATGTGTCAGGGTCAAAAACAAACTTAAAGCAATACTCCATTTAAATAAGCAGTATTCACATACCTTTGCTTTAGAGGAAACTCCTAGAGTTTTGGCCTTTTTAGAATCAGGTTTGGATTCTACAGTAGTGGAGACAGAATCTTCAACAGGTGCTTCAAGGAAAAAAGCATGAAAGAATAAGCTCTAAACCGCATTTTATCTTAGGCAAGTTTCATGTGTAATGATAATAAAAAAAGATCACATGCAGATTTTAATTTACAAATTTAATTAATGTTTCAGTTAAGAACCCCCACTGTTGTCTTCTGTCCCTAGCTTCCTCTTAAAGCATACACTTATATTCAGAAAATTTAGCTTTCAAAAATATTTGAGTTTCAGTATAAAAACAACTTTCTAAATAGTTAAAAATGGGGGAGGGAGAAACGAGGAGCTGATAGCAAGGGCTCAATAGACAGTAAATGTTTCTAAAATAATGATGGCAACATTATGTACAAATATGCTTGATACAATTGCTGTATGGATTGTTATAAGAGCTGTAAGAGTCCCCAATAAAATGATCTTTTAATTTAAAAAAAGATTAACATAAAAATAAATAGTTAAAATTAAATATTTTTTGCTAGTTTCATTAAGGGCAGAAAATATCCTCCATCTTTTATACTTGGTATCCACTACTGAAAAAGCCCTGGTGGCACAAATTAAGGGCTGCGAGGCTAAGCAGTGTGCCGAGGGTTGGACTCCATCAGCGGCTCCATGGAAGAGAGATGAGGCAGTCAGTCTCAGTACAGACTGAAAGCTCTATACTGTCCTTCCCTGAGCTGGAATTGAATGGACAGCAGTGGGTTATGTGGTATCTAGCAAGATTCAAATTAATGTTATAGCTGAATATATGCTTTGATGCAAAAAGCTGTATACTTGTAAAATGTCTATATAACATAAAAAATTTCTATCCCACTAAACCAGAGACTATTGTTTTGTTTATGTCACGAATAATCACTTTTTCAAGAGAAAACATTCCAAGTTAGCACTCAGGTGCCCAGCTGGTTCTGACTCACAGGGGCCTGAAGTACAGCAGGACAGGACAGACAATGCTCACACCATTGTCGCTATGCTTGAACCCACTGTTGCGGCCTCTGGTCACTCCATCTCAGGGAGGGTCTACTTCAAGCGTGTTCTTCTTCTTCAGGAATTGGGCCCAAGTATACTCGACAAAGTCTTACCATCACGGCTCCTAAGAAGCATCTTGGCTCTTTTAACACAGATTTGTTCATTCTTCTGGCGGCTCATGCTATCTTGATATTCTCTGCAAGCGCCGTAATTCAAAAGTGCTAATTCTTCAGTCTTTTTTATTCATGGTTCGTTTTCACATGCACACGAACTGATTGAAAATACCATGGCTTGGGTGCAGTGCATCTCAGTCCTCGAAGTGTTCACTGCTTTTCAACACTTTAACGAGGTCTTTCCCAGTAGGTTTTCCCAAATCAAAGTGCTGTTAGATTTTCTGGTTCACTGTTTCTATGGACACTGATTAGGAATCCAAGTAATGTGAAATCCTTGACAACTGATATATTTTTTGTATTTACTGTGATGTTGCTTGTTGGTTTAATTGTGAGGACTTTTTTTTTTTCTTGTCCACATACATCTTTAATGAGGTATAATTATTTAACAGTTGAGGTAACAACTTGCCTAGGTAGGTGTTTAGTAAAAGAATGATTATAAACCTTAGCCATTTTATATCCAAGCTGTATTTTTGCACTAAATGATTTGTCTGTACAATTAATACCTTCTCATTGCACTTCATTATCAACTGCCTCAAATGACTTGTTTTTCTGAGATTTAAGAAAAATCTGCTAATAAAGAGGGACTTGTTCTAGTTTATACTTTGCGGTAATCACGATAGCAAGCAGTATTTTACGGGTCTTTTTGGGGGGAGGGCATTTGTCCTTATTTTTTTAACAGTTTTATTGGCACATAATTTATACATCATACAATCCAATTGTACAATTCTCTTTGATAAGATTGAACTATCATTACCATATCAATTTTAGAAAACACACCCAAACCCAACCATGGTTAAATCGTCTTTAAAATGAGTTGTGTAATCAGTCAATTCTAGTGCTCCCCTCCCCCTACAGGTTATTCTTTAAGATTTTAACCTGCTTTGAAATTAAGCAAGCAGGGAATCAACAGTCCACATGGAAGAAGCACACCAGCCTTTGTGATCACGCTGTGTTGAAGGGATCAGGGACCTGGCATCAGAAGACACAAAACAATCATATCAATGTGAACAAGGGTGGGGTGGAGTGGAGACCTAAAGCTTATCTGTAGACAATTGGACATCCCCTCATACCAGGGTAACAGGAAGGAATGAGCCAGTCGGGGTGCAGTATAGCACTGATGAAACACACAACATTCCTCTAGTTCTTTAATGCTTCCCCCCACTCCTCACTATCATGACCCCAGTTCGACCTTACAAATCTGGCTAGACCACAGCAGGTACACTGGTACAGATAAGTGCTGTCAACACACGGAATCCAGGACAGATAAACCCCTCAGGAACAATAACGGAAGTAGTGATACCATGAGGGTAGGGGGAAGGTCAGGGGAGCAAGGGGGAACAGATCACAATGGTCGACATAGAGCCCCCTACCCCCCAAGGGGGATGAACAACAGAAATGTGGGTGAAATGAGACAGTAGATAGTGTAAGATATGAAAATAGTAATAATGTGTAATTTATCATGGGTTCGTTCACGAGGGTGGGAGGGTTGGGGAGTAAGGGAAAAAAGAGGAGCTTATATCAAAGGCTCAAGGAGAAAGAAAATGTTTTGAAAATGATGTCAACATTTGCACAAATGTGCTTGGTACAACTGATACATGGATTGTTTTAAGGGTTGTAAGAGCGCCCAATAAAATGGTTTCTATAAAAAAAAATTTTAGCCTGCAAACCAACCAACTTGAGAAAACAGGAATAAATTACTTACACTGCTTATCTACGAACTACAGAGGCTAGTACTCTCACCCTTCCTGAGTAAGAGGGAGTCATCAGCAGAAGGCGTGAGAGAGACCGAATAGGATTGTTAATGAAGAGCATAAAGAGTGCCTCATAGTTTGTTTTTTAATAAAACACAAGTTTAGGTGATTTAAGATTTCTTCTGAAATGAATGTTTGGGTCAAACGTTTGAATATCTAAGAAGCTCATAACCCTGGGCAAGAGGAAGGAATCCAGGCTCTATTCAGAAAAATGTGGTGCTAGACATGTTGCGTACCCGCTAATTTTAAATAATTATCTTCTCTGCTCTATGCGGCTTTCTCTTTAAGACATTTTTATTCATCTGGGCTACAGTAAAACTCAAGATACAAACAATATGGTAAAAAGCTTTGTAAAGATAGCTAATCTTAAACATTAAAAATGTTTTCAGACAAAAGGCTAAACTGTCCTTTTTCAAAAAAATAATTTTATTGGGGGCTCCTATAACTCTTATCACAATCCATACATACATCCATTGTATCAAGCACATTTGTACATTTGTTGCCATCATCATTCTCATTTTGTTTCTCCTTGAGCCCTTGGTATCAGCTTCATTTCCCTTGCTTCTCCACCCTTGATAACTTATAAATTATTATTTTTTCACGTCTTACACTGTCCAATGTCTCCCTTCACCCACTTTTCTGTTGTCCATCCCCAAGGAAGGGGATTATATGCAGATCCTTGTGATCGGTACCCCATTCCTCCCCAACTTTCCCCTTACATTCCTGGCATCGCTACTTTCATTATTGGTCCTGAGGACTTTATCTGCCCTGAATTCCCCGTTTCCAGCTCTTATCTGTACCAGTGTACATCCTCTGGTCTAGCCAGATTTGTAAGGTAGAATTCGGATCATGATAGTGGGAGGGGGAAGCATTAAAGAACTAGAGGAAAGTTCTGTTTCATCGGTGCTATACCCCACCCTAACTGGCTCGTTTCCTCCCCACAACCATTCTGTCAGGGGATGTCCAGTTGCCTACAGATGGGCTTTGGGGCTCCACTCCGCACTCCCCCTCATTCACAATGATATGATTTTTTTGTTCTTTGATGCCTGATACCTGATTCCATTGGCACCTCGTGATCGCACAGGCTGATGTGCTTCTTCCATGTGAGTTTTGTTGCTTCTCAGTTAGATGGCCACTTTTTTATCTTCAAGCCTTTAAGACCCCAGATGCTGTATCTTTTGATAGCCGGGCTTCATTAGCTTTCTTCACCACATTTGCTTATGCACCTGCTTTGTCTTCGGCGTAGTGTCAGGAAGATAAGCATCATGGAATGCCAGTTTAACAGAACAAAATGTTCTTGCACTGAGGGAGTACTTGAGTAGAGGCCCAATGTCCAGCTGCTACCTTAATATTAAACCTATAAATATATGCACATAGATCTATTTCCCCATTGTCATATATATGTGTATATATGTGTATATATATATATTTACATATGTACGTGCCTGCATTTAGAGCTCTATAAATGCCCTTTGCCTCCTAGTTCTTTCCTCTATTTCTTTTACATTCCTCTTGTCCCACTATCATGTTCAGCCTTCATTTGGGTTTTAGTAATTCCTTTAGGTTACACTGCCCTTGATCAAGCCCTACCAGACCTCCTTTGTCATAGATTTTGAATCACTTGTTCCTTTGTCCCTGGGTTTAACATCCCCTTTCTTTCCCCCGCCTCCCCGTCACTCATGTCCCCCCAGAACCATCAGTCCTGCTGTTTGCTCCTCCAGATTGTTTATTCCACCTATCTTATCTAGATAGACTTGCAGAGATAATATGTACAAAAAACAAGACATAACAAAACAAAGCAACACAAGAAAACAAAAGAACAAAAAAAGCAATGACCAAAAAGAAAAGCCTGTTAATTGTTCAAGGTTTCTTTGTTGACCTTTAGAGGTGTTTTCCAGTCAAGTCTGATGGGGTGCCACGCCCTGGTCCCAAAGTTTATTTTTGGTATTCCCTGGGGACTTCGTTGCTCTGTTCCCTTACTGTTCTGTTGCACCCCCTTAGTGTTTCCCCTCAGTGTGGTGGGGTCAGATCAGGCACAATTCCCGCACTGTGTCTCCAGGGTTGTTCCCCGTAGTACTATGGGTCAGTGAGGGACATCATGTCTTGTAGTTGGGCCGGCCCTATGATCCTCTCTGTGCTTTGGCTGCTGAGTGGGAATGTCATTCTCAGGGGTTGGTGGGCCAGGATGTGTTCCACTGTCTCTTCCTCTCTCTTCATTTGCTCCTGTGTGCTCTGGTCAGACATGCCCGTCTCCCTGAGTTGTAGCTTCAGTGTTGTCCTCTGAAATGAATTCTTCTGGGGGGAGGGGTAGTTGAGATTGGGGCCAGTCCCTAAACTGTACATCTATAACATGATATATTGTTTGCTTTATTGGAATGTAGAAAAATCCTATTTGTTGTCAGATAAATTCAAGTCTCAGCCATCATGTTTTCATGGCCATAGTATTGTAGTTCAGTATAGGAGCTGGCATTTTCCTTTGGATACAGTACAGTTTGATTATGCCAAGTAACAATTATTAAAACTGTACAAATTAAAAAAATATATGCCCCATTAGCCAAAATAATGTCTATTTAGACTTCTGAAACAAAGCCCCTGGAATAAGACTTTTGCTTTTTTTTTATATTGAGGTATAATCCACACCAAAGGCCACAGTCTTAGATGTACATCATTTTCAGCAAGCAAGGTTGTGTGACCTGTATGACAGGTTAATGAGTCATCCTCCCATCGTGAAGCTGCTTTCTTCTTCACCTATGTAGTCCAGCTTCTAGTGCTGTTTGCTCAGCAGACAGACTAAGTGTGGTGAAAAGATTAATCTCTTACACATACCTGTCCTAATTTTAAACCACTCAGCATCACTTGTTCTATTCAGGCCTGTCTTTTAATCTCTGTACAGGTTCTCCATGAGCACAATTACGTGTTCTAGAAATTCCATTTTTAACAACGATATCCATAGTTGTTATGATCCGTAATTGACGGATCTTACAGAGTCAAGAAAATACAAGTAAAGATCTTTGTAGTATTCTTTACTTTCAGGCAAGATCATATGGCATCAGCATGGTATATGTTGTTCTTTTTTAAAAACAAATTTTGGTGGTGGGGGGGGCGTATACTCTGTTGTACATCCTCTTCTGAATCTGGTTTGAACTTTGGCAGGTCGCTGGTGATTTAATTTTGGGTAGTCTTAAAGTTTTACTTGTATGTGGCATTATGCCATTGCTCAACAATGTCGTTCTCTTGGGTCACCTTTCTGCGGAATGGGCACAAATACGGATGCCCTCACATGTTAGCCACCTTCTAAATGTCTTGGGATAGACAAGTCAACATTTCCAGTATTGCAGCCATTTGTTGAAGTATCTCAATTAGTAGTTTGTCTATTTCCAAAGCCTTGTTTTCACCATTGCCTTTCAGTGCAACTTGAACTTCTTCCTTTGGTACCTCTGGTTCTTGATCATATGCTACCTCCTGAAATGGTTGAGTATCAACCAATTCTTTTTGCTCAGTGGCTCTATGCTATCCTTATTAAGTTTGTGGTCTCCATTCTCCTTCCAATTGTAATATCCAACAGCAGAAAATGGTTGTGGAAACTTTAAAACATAGGATGTCACTAGCTTCCTGGAATATATCACTGAAGACTCCCTATTGGATTCTGAAACCAAGCTAATCTTCTTTGTGCCTTTGTACAGTTCCTGGACTAAAACTGGTACTTCACAAATGATTATGATAGGAGGGTAATGAGAGAGGGAGGAGGGCTTGGGATCTAGAACCTGTGATGAGGAAATGTGATGAAAACAGAGGTTGGGTTTCTTCTCCAAGTTCCCTAGAGTCATTTCCTTCCGCGTCTTAAGATAGTTACCTGATGAAGGTTGGAATTTGGCTGGAGCTGACCCTCCCGTTGCTTTGGAAGCTGGTTTAACAGGTGCAGGTTTGGCTGGCATATTGGCTTTGGCTTTCTCTAGCATGGCCAATACCTGGTCTTTAGAAGTTGGCTAGGGAGACAACATAAAAAGTGAGCGGTCACAAAAATGACTGACTTATATTTGGTTACTTAAAGTAAATGATTGTGCTCCTGATTTTACAATACCCTCTGAGTGAGGGAAACAGCAGTGTGAAAGAAGTAACACACGGTGTGAAGTCATACTAAACTACTTATCCTAGGTCAAAATTTTCACCCTGGAGTACAGTAGATTCTTTAAAGGTTCTATGCTACTAAGTATTTTATTTTTGCTCTCATCAGGAATTCAGTTTGGGACTCATGTGGGTGGGGTAATAGGATTTTTTTTGTGGCTATAAATTCATGTCCAATATTTTTCTAATGTCATGGGACAATAAAAAAACCAAGTGGTACCTTCAGTTTCCCTGTAGCCTTGGCCATCTTCTCATACCCTAAATGCATCATGAAGAAGGGCAAAGCATCTTGGGCCTTCTTTCGTACATCGCCATTTCGGTCCTCTAGACAGGAGTAGAGGTGAGGAACACAAAGGATAAGGTCTGTAGGGGTGGAACGAAGAGTAGGTAGTTTCTCAGCCAGCCACCCCAGAAGCTGCCAAAAGAAATAAAATACTAGTCACACACTTCAGTGGAAAATTGTTTACAGTCTTAGGCGTAATGATTTCATCAGTTTCAAACACTGCACTGTTGGCTCTTAAGCCACGGCTTTCCAAAACACAGTCAATAATTTTCATTGTTCAAGAACTGTACCCTATTTAAGAATTACATGCAAAGATGACAATCATCTTTAAAATCAGGGCATAGTTCGTTAGATGCTATTTAGGCATAAATTATAAAGCTTTATAGACCCACCTCCCACCCCCCCCACCCCCAGTTTTAGGAAGAGCTTTAATGATTCTTAATGTATTTTTAAGATGGGTAGCTTTCACTTCTCTTTCTCTCTTTTAAAGTTCTAAGAAGTAACTCAAGCATAAGGACTCAAAAGAGGAGACTGTGATGTGTGCTGGTTAAGTGGCTCAGCTGCTAACCCAAAAATCAGCACTTGCACTCATCAGAAAGCTGTGACGTCAGCCTCTGTATGACTGTGCTGTTTACAGTGCCATTGAGGTGCTTCTGACTCATGGAGACGCTTCAGAACGGACGGAAACACACACACTGCCCGGGTCTGCAGCACCTCACAGTCATTGCTATGTTTGAGCCCAGTGCTGCAGCCACTGTGTCAGTCCACCTTACTGAGGGTCTTCCTTGTTTGTGCTCTCTCTGCTCTACCAAGCATGAGACACAGACACTGGTTCTTCCTGACAATATGCCCAAAACACACGAGACAAAGTCTCGCCACTCAATTCCAAAGAGCTTTCCGGTCTACACTGCTTTCAAGTATTCTGATTCACTCTTTTAGCAGTTCAAAGTACATTCAGTACTTTTTGCCAATAACATAATTCAAATGTATCAATTCTTCTGTAAAAGATTACAGAAATCCCATGAAGTAATTCTACCCTCTTCTGTAGGACTGCTATGAATCCCAATCAACTTGATAGCACTGGCTTTGAGTTTTAATTTCTTACAGACCCAAACAAGTTATTTAGTCAAAAGATAAATTCTCGAAGACTTATGTTTTTACTTTACAGCAATATTTTCTGTATATCTACAATTCATATCCATATTTTTAAATTAAATTGTTGAAATTATAGATTAATATGAATTCTAGAAGATAAAGAAGAGATCTTGAGAAACCCTAATTCAATTTTCTTCAATGGTAGCATTTGATAAGATTCTAGTATACTTAACCAATTAGGATACAGAATGGAAAGAACTCATTAATTTCGTTTAGATTTCCTCAGTTTGCCTTGTGCTCATTTAGTGCCACACAAATTAACCGCGTGCATTTGAGATCACCCACCATCCCCGCCAAGATATGGAAGAGTTCCATCACAGCAATGTCTTGCTGTCTAGACTCACACCCTTTCCCTCCTTCGCATCCCTAACCCCTGGAAACTCCTACATTTACAATCTTGTCATTTCATACAAGACGGAATTGTACAATATATGTATGACCTTTGGGGTTGGCTTTGGACACATTGCATGATTTGACATTTATCTACGGGGCCACAACAAGCATCCATAAACCAAACCAAACTCACTGCCATTGAGTCGATGCCAACTCACAGCGACCCTATTATGACCTTTTTAAAATTTTAGCATTCTGATGTGTCTCATTGCAGTTTTAATCTGTGTTCCCTGATGGCAAAAGTGATATAACATCTTTCAAGTACTTATTGACCACGGCTATATCCTTTTCAGTGAAATATCTGTTTGTATCTTTTGCCCATTTTCTTTTTTTTTTTTTAATCATTTTATTAAGGGCTCATACAACTCTTATCACAATCCATACATACATCAATTGTGTAAAGCGCATTTATACATTCATTGCCCTCATTATTCTCAAAGCATTTCCTCTCCACTTAAGCCCCTGGCATCAGGTCCTTCTTTTGCCCATTTTCTAATGAAAATTTTTGTATTGTTCAGTTTTGAGAGTTCTTTATATATTCTGGGTATTAGCTCTTTATCAGATACAAAGCTTGCAAATATTCAATCTCTTCACATGGTCTTTCATCATAAGGAGGTCCAATTTATATAGCTTTTCCTTTCAAAGATTTATATGGATTTTCCTGTGATGAATTGTGCTCATGGTATTGAATCTATAGATCACTGTCTAACCATACGTTCCAAAAATGTCCTATAACCTTTCTTGCACTGGACTACTTTGGTAGCTTTGTTAAAAATGAGTTGCCCTTATTTCTGTGGGTCTATTTCTGGGTGCTCCTGTTCCTCCAATGCATGTTTCTATCCCTCCACCAACATGAAAGTATTTTGATTACTGCAATCATATAGGTAGGGAAGAAAGACCTGGTGATCTACCTCTCAGGTTGGTAGTCACTGAAAACCAGAGTGAGTGAAGTTCTCCGACACACACAAAGTCACTATGAGTGGAAATCGACATGCTGGTAGTGGGGAGAGTGATTTTTCCCCCTTTATTCTTTGTCAAGACTGTCTTAGGTGTTCAAAGACCTGCGATTAAAATGCTATTTTATTTTATTGGGTTGCCGAGTAGGAATCAACTTGACAGTAATGGCTTTGTCTATGTCTATGCTGGGATTTTGATAGAAATTGCATTAAACCCATAGATCAATTTAGTAAGAATTGTAATCTCTGCTAAGATCTAGTGGTGAAGTAAGCTGCTAACCACAGGGTTGGTGGTTCAAACCACCAGCTGGCTCCTTGGAGAAAGCCAGAGGGACAGTGGCTAGACCCTACCTTGTAGGGTCTATGTGAGTTACAACTGACTGGATGAAAATGACTTTGGTTTGGGTTTGACATCTCTAGTATGCTGAGTTTTCCAAGTGAGGAACAGAGCTTGTTACTTATTTGTCTTGTTTCTTCAACATGTTGTAATTTTCAGCTTATGTATCTTTGTTTTGTTAGTGTATAACTAGTGCTTGAACTGCACTTTTAATCTTGGTTTCTACATGTTCACTGCAGTATAAAGAAACGTGTTTGATTTTTGTCAGCTGATTTTGCATCTAGGGATTTATTTGTAGATTTACTGTACTTTCCATGAAATTATGGCACCTGCAACTAGAGACAGCTTTAGTCTATGTCTTTCACTTCTCTTTCTTGCTTATCTGCAGTGATTAGAAACCCCGGTGTCATGATGAATAGCCACTCTTGTTTTGCTCCCAAAGCACTCTGCCTTTCGCCATCGAGTATCCTGTAAGTTCTACGTAAAGGTCATCACGTTGATGCAATTCTTCATTCCTAACTTGTTGAGAATTGTGTGACAAAGGCACATTACGTTTCTTCAAATGCTTTCTGTGAGCTAACTGAAATGGTCATCTGACTTTTCTTCTTTAGCCTATTGATGCGGTGAATTAACACTGACTGGGTTTTGAATGCTGAACTTTGTACTTATTTTTATATCCTGACTGACATCTCTGTTTTATCAATTTGAGTTTGAAAAAGAAAGAAAGACAGACAGAAAGAAAGAAGTTTCATAAATAAGCTAGACCTGTTGGAGCCCTGGTTGCATAGTGGCTACGAGGTAGGCTGCTAACCACAGGTTCAAGAGTTGGAAACCACCAGCTGCTCCTTGGGATAAAGGCAGGGTTTTGAACTCCCGTAACAAGTAAACCCCCCCAGGGGCTGCTCCACCCTCCCTAGAAGGTCACCCAGTAAGGAACCGGAATCGACTCAATGGCTGTGAGCTTGAGTGTCTGAGTTTTCAGCCATCCATTCAAGGAGTTCATGGGTGGGTGGTGGTGCTGGAGCGGCAGCAGTCACACGCGAACACAAAAGCTCCAGGAAGTGTAATTTCATATTATTTACTGTTCGATTAATGAACCTCTTTTACTCCTACGGACAAGATTACATCATACCAACGTATTAGGTGGGCATAAGCAACTAAAAAGGTAAAAGACACAGATAAAGCACATCAGTCTTGTTAGTACCAACCTCTTGCCTCAAGAAAGGGTTTTCCTTTTTGAGCTCCTCAGAAAGCTCCTCTCCCTCCAGCCACTCCTTCATGCCGGTCTGCTCCGCCCAAGCACTCACTGTCGCCAGAGCAGCAGCGCGAACATGGCTCTTTAGGGAGAATTACCAAAACCAGCAACGATGGTTGGGAGACAAGGGTGAAAAACTTGTTATCTCTGAGACAGAATCAAATTCAATAGTTGTACTAAAATTTCATAGAGAGGCAGAGACATAAAACTCAAATGTCAAGATCTCACACTTGTTTAATTAGGACAAAACAGTGACCTGGGCATAAAAAGAATATAAAAGGAATAGAATAAACTCTTCAGATACTCTCCCCTGAATCTCTACTGGTTCATATGTCTACAACTATCTCCTAAAAACAAAAATTCTACATAACAGAACTCTGTAACATTGAAGTTATGTTTTCCTATTCATTGAAGGATTTGAAAAAAAATTAAAATAGACCAATTCCTCTAGTGAAGTTGATTACCAAAATAAAAAATAAAAAGATGAGTAGACATTCAAATATTTAGTCTAGGGCTATATAGAAATGGCTAGTGATCTTCAATGACACTAATCCTCGGACTGTCAAAGTAGCAAGATCTTACTGAACTACTAGGTCTTATTCTAATAGTTTAGGGGGAAAGTAAACTCACGAGTCATTAACTCATTCATATATTTATTCAGACTCTTTACACTAATACTTTTTTAGAATGAGGTGGCTCTTAAACAAAAAAACAAGAGCCACAACTTACTGAGTGCATACTATGTGCGAAGGCACAGTTCAATGCACTTTAAGTACAAACCCTTATTTAATTCAGCATCACAGATAAAGAATCCCAGCCCTGGAGAATGTACATCACTCACTGAAGGCTGAACAAAGGTAGTACGTAATATAACCGGTCACACCTTGATACTGCTTGGGCTGTAAAACTGTTTGCTATTTCCTGCTAAAAATCTCCTCATTACCAAGGATATGGACATGTACTCTAGACAAGAGACTTAGTCTTAGCCCGAGAATGTGGCTGGCCTCTTCCAGATTGGAGCTGTGGTATGTGAGTCAAGTTCTACCTTGCTGTCTCCAAGGACTGTGATGATAGGGATGCCCAAGTTCTTCACATGTTGCTTGATGTTTGGGCCCATGGCTACTGCCAACTGCTGGAGGATAGTCAATGTCTGCTGCACCTGAGTGGAAAGAGGTAGCACTTTTTGTTTAAGCCACAGTAAATTGGGTTAAAAGTTTTACAAGTTTGCTGGTATAGTCAGTACAGTACGTGGTTTCTGACCTTCTTGCAAATGCAATTATATCATTATGATGTGACTCCTATTTGGCTTGGAAATAATTTTTAGGCTGTGGTCTCTCCTTTGATCAGTTTACAAAACTGAATGACTGAAAGTTTACTCTGAAGTCCTTACTGCTTAACAATTTCATGGTAAGGTATGACAACCCTAACTCAGCAATGTAAATGTAGGCACTAGAAATGAGGACAGTTTAGGGGCATTCTCTATAAAGATGGAAACCCTAGGGAACACGTTGACTCTGTTCTGCAGTTGCTATGAGTCAGAATCAACAGGAATGGCTAGGTTTCTGTAAAAAGCAAACTCTGACATTTATGGAAATTAGATTACTAAACTTGTTTTCCACAAAACACATCTTGAGCTATACTTCAAAAACTATAGGCAATCATGGCAGTGGGTTAGGCTTTGTGCTGCTCCCCAGTGTGTGGAGGGGGAAAAGATGAGGCAGCCGTGAACATTCACAGCCTCAGAAACGATAAGGAGCAGCTCTACTCTGTCCTACAGGGTTGCTGTGAGTTGGAATCAACTCAGTGGCAATGGATCTGGGGAGTTATTTGTAGTTCAAAGTAAATAAAGTGACCCTTTGTATATATTTTTTTGCTAGGAGAGGCTCTACTGAAAAGGAACTTCGGGGGGGGGGGGGGGGGGGAATAAGAACAGGCACATGATCTACATACCAAGATTTTATTTGAATCATTGAGTCGACCCTTCAAGGCAGTGGGAAGTTCACCTATATTTGGCTGGATAAATTTTGCTTCATTGATGATGCCTGCCACTTCATCTAGGCCTTCTTTCCTGATCTTCCAATTCTTGTCACCAATCTTAGATACCAAGTCTGAAGTGATTTTATCACTGAAAAATGGAAGACAATCTTAATTGCACACACCTCAAAGAATAATGTCACAAAAGTACCCCTGACCAACGTCAAAGAACATATCGTTTAGGATTCAGTATGATGCATCAAATCAACCATTTTCCCATTTAAAACCTACCTAATCTCTGCCCTTGGCAAAAAATCAACAACATCACTGCCCCCTTCCTCGGGTTCGTCACCATCCTCTCCTTCATCCACTGCACTTGCGCTGTGCTTGGTAATCCCTCGAGTTGGAGCAGGTGGGCTCTGTCCCTGCATCTACACACATAAATCAGTGAGGTTAATGAACTTGATGAAAGCAGTCAGAGTACACAAGTCTGGAGTGGCACTGAGGTGAAATGTCCACATTTACTCATGATACTTAATATCTGTACAGTAGACATTTTCATTCCTACCCAAATTCTAAGTTTGAGATTATATGACAAAAAGTATTTTTTTCTTTTCTTTCTTTTTTTCATTTTCTCAGCAATGTTTTCTTGCTTTAAAAATTTTTAAAACCATTTTATTGGGGGCTCGTTCAACACTTATAATCCATCCATCCATCCATCCATTGTGTCAAGCACATTAGTACATATGTTGCCATCATTATTCTCAAAACATTTGCTTTCTACTTGAAGGCTTGGTATCAGCTCCTCCTTTTTATTTCTATGCAAACTTAGATGAATCTGATTTCTCAATCATGAAGTTTCCCATTGATTTGTACGAATAAATACAGAACAACTCTGCAAAGACTGAGCAATTTAGGTTAGAAAATTAAGTTTAAGGAGAGGCAAGTTTCTCTTTTTAAATGTAAAGTGTTATTTTTAATGTACTTTTGGAATAAGTAATGCATTCATGATGTTATTCACAAAGGATACCAAGAGGAAACTCTCTCATCCTACAGTATAGATAATGAGCTGTATTCCTCACTAAATCAATAATTTCCCATGAACTTGTCAGGAGATATTTTATGCAGATGAGAGTAAATGCTTATTTATTCTTTATTACAAAGGATTGAAAGTTTACATTTAACCAATTAATACAAATATCCTCAAGCCCACCAATTGCTAATATTGTTTGGAGAATCTTTACCTTCTCAAATTCTGCATCGATCTGGGATAGGAGGGCAGGCTTCTCATCTTCAAAGAACATTCGCAAAGATGGACCAACGTACAGATACATCACACCAAGCAGGGTAATAGCAGAAGTCCTCACAGCCTGTTAGACAGAACAAAAAGACCTCTCCAATCCAGAACACACCCACAAAGGCAGCAGTGATACTACTCTACATACTGGTATATACTCACTGGATTTGTTGCAGCGAGAGCTGTCTTCACATTGCTAATGAAAGCTTTGACATTCAACCTAGGAGAAATATCATTTACAGTTAAAAACAAATGATACTGAAGATATTTATTATTATTCATTCATTATTAAGATATTCATACTAAAACTAGTGCTTTATTAAGCCAGACTGGCTACCTTTGGATATGTCTGCCTGACTCATTTTAGAGTGAGCTGTAAATACTATCTATATGCGGATAACCCGAGTCAATTCTGGATATTTTTCCAGAACTCTAGATTCATACATCCACCTGTCTTTGTGACATCACCATTTGATTAGCAGAGGCCCTAGATCTAATATGCTAAAGCCAAATTCTTTTTTTTTAAGTCATTTTATTGGGGGCTCATACAACTCATGACAATCCGAACATACATCGATTGTATAAAGCACATCTGTACATTTGTTACCCTCAGTATTCTTCAAAACCACATTCTTAAATGTCCACTCTCCAAACTTGTGTCACTAAAAGAGCCACATCATGTAATCCTGAACTGCCCTCTCTCCTGATGAACTCTACTTTCAGAATATCTGAGTTCTAATACTTCTACCTCTACAATCTATGTTAAGGTGACCAGACGTCCCGCTTTTGGCGGGACAGTCCTGATTTTTAACAATTTTCCCCGCATCCCGTGGCGTTTTTAAAAAGTCCCGATTTTTGGAAATAATGCACAAGCTAGGGTATACGGTTTTTGGCTGCCATGTGGCTATTTCGCCAGGTTTTATCAATGGTGTCCCGTTGTACCAATGTTAAAATCTCATCACCCTAGTCTATGTCCAAGCCACTCTAAGCTCTTGATGGGATGATTCCACTATGCCACAGTCTCATTGCTTTTGCCTTGGTTCTGACTATAGCCGGAATGATCCAGTTACTCCTTTGCTCAAAACTCCTAATGGTTTTTCACATGCTCAAAATTTTGAGGCTATATATGTTCTACCCTTTCATTTATTCCATTCCGATCAGGCAGGTCTCCTTGGTATTTCTGAATACAGCATGCATAATTCTACTTTAGGGCTTTTGTACTTATTACTCCTATGATCTAGAATGCTCAGCATTTTGCTGCTTGCTTCTCCATTTCCTGCAAGGCTGTGCTCAGATAGAGATGCTCAGGAAGGACCCTGACTAACGCACAGAAAAGAACACCATCCCAACCAGTCTCCAAGATGGCACTGATAAACCCTTCACGCTGCTTTATTTTTAGTCTATTGTTCTTCTGTCTCTTATTTTTACTGTTTATCCTTTGTCTCTCACTTCTGACTTAGGTCCCATGAAGGCAGAAATCTAATTCTGACCATGATACAGTCCCAGGACCTGAAAAAATGACCGAAACATTGTAAGATACAGGGCAGAAGATCGTTTAATATGGCTTTTCTAACAATAGTCCCTCTAACTTGCACCAAATTATCTTTTCTTGATGGATCTGGGTGGGAGAAGGTAGGGGAAGATACTGATAGGCTTCAGTTGTGAGGACTTGTTAACAGGATTCATTGTGATCATCATCCTGTTGTATACAAAATAAGACCCCCTGAAAGCAGAAGGGATCTCACTGCCAGAAGAGCCAGGAGTGAAGTGCATCCTCTGGACTCCAAGATCCCCATGCAATGAACCTCCTTGATCCAGAAGATACCAGTGACATAAGAGGAGTGACAGAGACACAGCAGCAATGGCAGAACCAAGAGCCCAGTGCATGAGACAGCAATGGGAACGTCCCAGTCAGAGTAAAGCTGAGAGCTTTCAGGAAGGAGGCTGGCTTTTTGGATGGGGTGCTTCTGGAAACTTATTCCAGGATCTGAGTTCACTGACTCGTGGAGCTGGAGCAAGAGGGCTTTGGGGTTGAGGCTTATTGGAGTGGCATGCCCTAGTGGGCATTTACTAGCAACCTTGAAAGAACTTGGTAACGTGTTCTGTCTGAACAACTCTATCTTGAGCATTTCTAACTGAACTGTAACCTATTAATTTCCACAATAAATCTTTATAATCATGAGTATTGTCTGAGTTGTGTGTGACCACAGCAATGAGTGAATGAGCTTAACAATAAAAGTAGAAAGATTGTTCAAATAGAACATAAGAATACAATAAATAGCTGCTAAAGAATGATAAAATGAGAATCATAAATTGAACAATAGAAAAAAATCACCTGCTTTTTATGTTATGCTTAGAGATCAGTTTTACATTACAGGGTGTATTATGAATGGATTATAATAATATCCTAACTATGACAGGGCACCAGAGAACTGACATAACAAGTAGTTCTTTGCATTACTTGTTAGTTCTTCATTTGGTAGGATAGTAAGAGGCATGTTGTAAAAAGCAGCATGGCCCAGGAGGATAAGGAGAAGGTGGGGGTTGACAAGGGGGACCGATCACAATGACATACATATAACCCATTCCTAGGGGGATGCACAACAGAACAGTGGGTGAAGGGAGATAGCGGTCGGTGTAAGACATGGTGGTGGTGGAGATTATAAATTAACAAGGGTTCATGAGGGAGGGAGGGTGGAGGAGATGGGAGAATGAAGAGCTGATATTAAGGGCTACAGTAGAAAGAAAACACTTTGAAAACGATGCTGGCAACATATGTAAAAATGTGCTTGACACAATGGATGGGCATATAGATTGTGATCAGAGCTGTAAGGAACGCCAATAAAATGATTTAAAAAACAACAACAAAAAAAGCAGCACAGCACAGAAACAGGCCACGTGCTTTCTCAGAAAGAAGATGGCATTAAGGTATATTGTAATGACCAACCAAAGGCTGGCAATATATGTAATTATCTTCCATTTGATTTCTTTGTGACTTACCCAGAAAATCCAAATTCTTTTATTGCATTTGCTAGCCAATTCAGTGTTTCTGATTGATTCTTGGGATTTTTCTGGGAGAAAGCCATCGACATAACCTGGAACAGGGAAAAACATTTCACAATGATTGATGTGTTCCCATTCCCACTTCTTAGGGAAGAATACTTACTGCTTCTTACTGTCAGTGAGTTGATTCAGACTCAGCAAGACTGTGTACAGGGCAGAAGAGAACTGCTCCTTAGGGTTTCTGGCACTAGAAACCTTCATGGGAGCAGAAAGCTTCATCTTTTGCCCCAGAAGCAGCTGATGGGGCTGAATTGCTGACCTCACGGTTAAGTGCCCTCTGCTTAGCTCCTTCCATAGAAACATAGCAGGGTGATAAGGCAGATGTGGGGTTGAGGGTAGGTTTTTTTATGTTAAAAACAAGTGCTAATTATACCTTTGGAATTAAATATCTAATGATCACAAGAAAATGAGGTAAGTGTCAACAGAATTAAAAACACGCTGGACTATTTATATCTTTTCACTAGTGATCACTGTCATAAGAGAGAATTATTCCCGCCTTTCATGGAATAGTCTTAAGATAAATTTCAACTATCAGGAACAGTCTGTTACTAAAGCTTAAAATAAACATGCTGTATCAAAACCATTTTACTCAAGGAAAGGACAGGCATTTGACCAGCAAGTCCAACATGACACTGGGGCAATGGGGAATCGAGCGCTGTCACTAACCTGCTCGGCCGTCCATGGCAACACGCAGGCTTCAGCTATGGCCGTCATAGCTTCTTTTGCATTGTTTCCACACTTCACATCTCCAATCTTGTCGACAAGGCCGTCTAATACAATCTGAGCGGATGTTTTGGAAAAGTTTCCCTTCTGGGCAATCAGAGCAACTATGTGAAGCTTCATTTGCATCACCTGACAAGGATAAGCCAAAGACACTTATTTATCTCCTTAAAAAGAACTTTTTCAAAAAAAAAAAAAAAAAAAAAGAACTTTTTCACATATTTGATTACACAAATTTTATAGTTTGATTTTTAAAAAAACGTAACATCTTTATTGGCATATAACCCACAAATCATACAATAATTCACTCATTCCTATTTTTAATTTTACATATTTACTTTTCCTTTAGTTTTTCTCTTTCTTTTTTGTTTTTTCAGGTTGCCAGATCTCCTCTCCCCTCTTTTTTTAAATTATTAAATAATCATTTTATTAGGGGCTCATATAACTCATCACAATCTGTACATACGTCATTTGTGTCCAGCACATCAGTACACATGCTGACTTCATCATTCTTACAACATCCGCTTTCCACTTGAGCCCTTGGTGTCAGCTCATTTTTCCCCCTCCCTCCCCGCTCCTCCCGAATAGTTTTTCTTTCTTTTGTTGCTATTGAGAATATACACAGGCAAACATACACCAGGCCGACATTTTCCATATAGAAATTTAGTGGCAGTGATATTCAGTCAGGTTACTCTTTGCATCCTTAGTTTCAGAGATATTCCTCTTCTATTTAATCTCGTGATTTGACATGTTGGCTGAGTGATTTAAAAAGGGTGTGCTAAATATCACCCTGGGAAACTATACCCCTCTATTGTCTCACAGGACATAGTAACACACTATTTAAATTTTAACAGACATGAACCCTCGAATTCAAAGTACCTGGAAATTTGTTTCTTTCCACCCCGGTTTCTTGGCCAGCACCCTCACTAATGCCTGGCATGGCATTTCAGTTCGGTCCATTAGTTCCACAGCCTTAAAGTAAATCAAAGGTGAGTTAATAAGGCTGAAAGTTGAGTTTCAAGAAAACCAAAAACAATAAAATCAAGAAGTGGTACATCTGAAGAAGGAGAAAGGGAAATGGAATTGAGGAGCGTTAGAGAAGAACCCTTTATAATTTAAGATGCTGATTTTCTTAAGGTGCATGCTTGCTTTGGCTGGTATATCATCACTGAAATTATTTACTTTTACACATTGGAGGAATTCACAAATTCTTTGTTGCAAGGAAAGTTAACAGTAATGTTTTTTTTTTCATTTGCCTCGGGTGGGAGAAACTGCTTATACAGATTTTGTCCTAGTAATTTTTCTAACAACAGTGAAGTAGAGTAGGTTAGAAGTAGTTAAATGTTCCAGAGCACAAAGTATAAGCCAAAAGGAGTTGTTGCTATGCTTCTTTCCCATGCTGGATTTTTAAAAGGAGTTTCTCACACCAAGGGATTGTTCTGTTCTACGAAGGAACCAGGATGACAAAGGGTGAAACAACACAGGGGTGAGAGGTAGCTTAAATGGAGAGATCTGCTTGTCTCATTAAATTTAATGGACGAGCACCATAGTTTTGAAATTCAACTAAGCCTTATTATTCAGAATAAGACCCTGATTTTATTGAATAAGTACTAAGTTATGAGGTAAGAGAAAACAGATGTTGAAAGATGACAAACAGAATCAAGCTGTTTCTACAACCAACCCAAACAAACCCAACCCAAACCACCAACCCCCCCCACCCCATCTTTAGTTAACCCAGCTTCACATATCTGTTGTAAATTATAGTAATTGGGATGAGAACTTTGTCAATTTCTCTGCTCCCATAAAATCTCATCTTCTTTCACCCAGTTCATTCCCGCAGACAACCTTCTGAAACTCTTCCATACAGGCCAGTCGCTCCTTCCAGTTACTGCTGTCTAGAAGCGGGACACAGGTAGAGGGAAGGACAGCAGACGCCTGTTCTTCACACACTTCTAGCTGTAAGATACAGAAACTGTTTAAGGAAACAGACTGCAAGACTGTCAAAACACCCCCGCCAATATAAAAAGCACACTTTCACAGGTATGCGACAGCCTATAAGTCTTCTAGTGTATACTGGGAGTCAGAACTGACTTAGCCACAGGTTTGGTCTGGGGATATCTATCCAAGGCACATGCACTTGCTGGCAAATTCAGCCAGGACAGAACCCTGCTCTTCTCGCAGGTTAGCACTTCCCCTGGTTTGACAAGCTTGTGACGAGGCAATACTGACCGAGAGCTCAGGCTCCACAATTTCTTTGGTATCCAACCCTTTCTTGTTCTTGGCTCCACTGCTCCCTGCACCTCCTGGTGCAGCTGGCTTCCCCTTCTTAGGTGGCCCACCAGCCTAAAAACAATGAAAACAAAAGTCCTTTAATTCAGCCACTTAAAGGACTGAATACACGTCACAGACTCTCTTGAAAATTTGATATGAAGGCTCACATGATAAAATTAGATAAGACTGATAGAATTATACAAGGGGGTACCCCCCAAAAACTGGAATTGTGCTGGGTGGAGTGGAACTTTTCATAGTATACATTTTTCCTGCTAGGCGAGCATTGAGCAACTCGTTTAGTGCACCTAGTGGCATCACCTGGGAAGGTTCTCTCTGGTCACAGACAATTGGGTCGAAAAACATTTTCGCTCAAACCTTGTTTTTTGTGATGACAGATTTAAGAGAATAGGTGTCTGTGTGCAGTTGTCAAAGTTTGTTTCCTGCTCCGGAAAAATGTCACAGGAACTGTTGTGATGTTGAACACAGCTCACAGGAATAGCGCTATGGGAAAAAACCCAAGTGTGCAAGTGGTTTTCTCATTTCAAAAAGGGTGAAATGTCGAATGATGACAAACCCCGTTCTGGACATCTGTCAACATCCCAAACTGACAAAAATGTCAAGTCATAGGGTATTTGGAGTTCATTCCACCAGGTCAGACTGTTAATCATGCTTTCTATTTAGAGGTTCTGAATAGACTGCATGAATAGTGTGTGACAATAAAGGCTTGATCTGTGGCAGGTGGGGACTGGTTTTGCCACTACAACAATGCGCCAGCTCATGCAAAAACAGCATGCCTCTCTTAACTCACGGGACCTTGCTCTGTGTGACTGTGAATGAAGACGGGCATGAAAGGATAGCAATTGACAACACAGAAGTGAAGAAAAAGACAATGGAGGTGCTGTCAGCCATCCAAACAGGTAAGATTGAAAAATGTTTCCAAGAATGGAATTGCAGATTTGACAAATGTGTTAAGTATAATGGAGTACTTTGAAAATGGTATGGTTGTTTTGTAAAAAAATTTAAATAGGGAGGATGGGGGAAGGGGGAAAATGAGTTGATATCAAGGACTCAAGTAGAAAATGTTTTGAAAATGATGATGGCCACATATGTACAAATGCACTTGACACAATGGATATATGTATGGATTGTGATACACAAGAGTGGTAAAAGACCACAATAAAATGATTTAAAAAACATTTAAAAACATATTTTTATGGAAAAAAGTCCATTTTGGGGGGGAATATCCCCTCGTATGAAATAATTTTCTATAAAAAACCTGTTAACATGCTTTTGTTATACATGGACATTAAGTTCACTTGGTTGGCAACACTAGAGTACTGTCACTCATCAGGCCCAGGAGGACATCACATCTTTCAGGATTCAATGGGGAAAGGACAACAAGAAGCTCTGGGTTTGGACCTCTCTCTCCTGAAAATTTGCCTCATGGCAGTGTCAATATGATTCCCTCTGATTCTGCAGCTTACCCTAACAGGGTAAATTAGAATTATACATTTACAGATTTAGAACAGGTATCTAAGTGCCTCTAAATGTTTCCTACATTAGTAAAGACAAGTTCCTAAACTACAATATTTTTGCAAGATTTACCCACAGGTGTCTCGGTGGCAACAGGGTAGATCATTAAATAATGTAGAGCTACATTGTTTGCAGAGAAAGGCTGGACAGAGTTGCACCCAATAAATATCTGGTTATGCTGAATACAAGCATCTCACTCAATCATTATACTGTCGAGTCACTTTTTAGGTTTTACAAAGACATAATCATGAAATGTAAAAATAATTTACATTTAACCTCTTCTTTCCCAATACTAACAGGTCCTCTTTTATTCTTAAGTCTAATTATAGAGCATTACAATGATGGTAGCAGCAAGCATTTAAATTTCTTATTTCAATGTGAATGCACCTAATGTTTCACTAATTTTTTGGTTGGCTATGTTCATTAATATATGCAGTTCTACCTATGTGTTTATATGTAGTTGTTTTGTATCTAATGTAGCTAACATTTTTTTATCAAGAAGGTATGGTGAAATTTGTACTGTTCTAATGTCTGAAATTATAGATTTCTTTTGATCTATTGTTTTAATATCAACCCATCCTTGTAATCCTGGAATAAGCATCTATCACTGATCATACTTTTTTATAAAACCACTTGGATTCTCTCTGTGAATATTCTATTTAAAAGTATTATTCTAAATTCATTATACTCCAGTTTCAAAAGGCCACAAGAAAATAGAAGTCTGTCACAAGCCAACCTTGGTAATAATACTATGTATTGCAAGTGACACTGTTTACATGGTCTGTATACCAATTGAGTATTTGTCAAGAAATGTCATAAATGAAAATTTATTGTTTTCTAACTATAAAGAGGGAAATTTTTATATTATTTGGTTAGCTTGAATACTGCTTCTGTAATCACTTTTCTGTATAAAGGGAGAGCTCAATTCACAAATCTACTTATCTTTCAAAATGGGAACAGAAGACCATTGTCTTATTCTTTTTTGATAAAAGAAATCTTATGAGAAGGACAGCTAGCTTGGGCATGAAAGGGTTCAGAAAGAGAGGGACAGGAATGGAAACACTAGAGAACAGAATATGATAGAAAGTACAGAAGATCTGGGAAACCACAGAGACTGGACCATATGCCGGCACTAACTAGAATTAGCCCGACCTCCACCATGGAAGGGAGTCCCACAGAAAATGGAAATAGATCGTCTGGTGTGAGAAAGGAACTGACCTACCACACCACACCCAGAGGAAGCTGAAGCAAAGGAAGGAGGAGGCAGAACGGAGCGGAGCACACCTGGGTCCACCAAGCTCAGAGGACGATAGCCCAGCTCGGAGGGCCCAATGTACAGAGAGGACCATGTAACTGCCCCCACGGTGAGATGCGACATCTTGCACTGACCCATGGCCTGCACGGGACAGCACCGGAGACACAGTGTAGGATGTGCGACTGAGCTGACCCTACCACACTGAGGCAAAACACTGGGGGTGTGCAATGGAGCAGCAGGGAAGCAGAGCACAGAGGTCCCAAGGGAGTACAAACGATGGACTTTGGGGCCAGGACGTGGCACCCCATTAGACTCGTCCGGAAAACACTCCTAAAGGTCAACAAACAGACCTTGAACTACTAACAGGCTTTTTTTTCCCCCCCAGCCTATTTGTTTTGTTTCTTTCCTTTTTTCTCTTCTTTTAAATCTTGTACGTCAGTGGCTATTTTGTTTGTTAGCTTGCCAGTGCTGCTGCTGTCGTCGCCATGTTCGTATGTGCACTTTGGTGCTGTGCTGTCAAAGCCATCCCAAATGTTATGCACATATTAATATGTCTGCACGTCCACCTAGATAAGAGAGGCTGGACCAAAAAAAATGTGAGAAGAAAATAAAGGGACCAATGGCCCCGGAGGGACATGAGAGTGTGGGAGGTAGGGGAAGGGAGGAGGTGTTGGCCAACCCAGGGACAAAGGAACAACGAGTGGTTCTAAACCAATGGCAGGGAGGGGAGGGGAGGACTGGTAGGGAGTGACCAAGGGCAATGTAACAGAGAGGAAATACTGAAACCAGAATGAAGGCTGAACATAGTGGGACAAGAGGAAAGCGTAAGGAAATACCTCTAGGAGTAGGAGGCAAAGGGCATACATAGAGGCCTAAATACAGACATGTACATATGTAAATATATTATGGGGGAAATGGACCTAGGTGCATATATTTATAGGTTTAGCAGTAGTGTGGCACGTGGACATTGGGCTTCCTCATACGCATTCCCTTAATATAAGAGCACCTTGCTCAGCTAAACGGTCATTTCATGATACCCACCTTCCCGACATGATCACTGAAGACGACAGATGTATGCATAAGCAAATGTGGTGAAGAAAGCTGATGGTGCCAGGCTATCAAAAGATATAGCGTCTGGGGTCTTAAAGGCTTGAAGGCAAACAAGCAGCCATCTAGCTCGGAAACAGCAAAGCCCACAGAGAAGAAGCACACAAGCCTGTGTGAACACGAAGTGTTGAAGGGATCAGGTAGCTGACACCAAAGAACAAAAATCATCACTGTTTGATCACCTTCCCCACACAAACGCTGAAGACGAATGTGTGCATAAGTAAGTGTGGTGAAGAAGGCTGGTGGTGGCCGGCTATCGAGACCTATAGCGTCTGGGGACTTAAAGGCCTGAAAGTAAACAAGCGGCCACCTAGCCCAGAAGCAACAAAGCCCACATGGAAGCAGCACACCAACATGTGTGATCATGAAGGGACCAGGCTTCAAGCACCAAAGGTGGTGGTGGGGTGTGTAAAAAAAAAAAACCACATCATCGTGAATGAGGGTAGTGCGTGATAAGGGCCCAATGCCCATCTGGACAACTGGACATACCCTGCAGAGGGGTAGTGGGGAGGAGATGAGTCACTCGGTATGGTATAGCAATAATGAAACTCACAACTCTCTTCTAGTTCTTAAACGCTTCCTCCCCCAACTATCATGATCCCAATTCTACCTTGCAAACCTGGTTAGACCAGAGGATGCACAGCGGTACAGATGGTAACTGGAAACACAGGGAATCTAGGACAGATGAACCCCTTGGGACCAGAGGTGACAGTGGCGATACTGGGAGGGAAGGGGGGGGGGGGCTTACAAAGGAGGAATCTATCACAGGGATCTACATGTGACTCCCTCTCTGGGGGATGGGCAACAGAGGGGTGGGTGAAGGGAGACGCAGGGCAGTGTAAGATAAGATATAATAATAATTTATAAATTATTAAGGGTCCACGATGGAGGGGGGAGTGGGGAGGGAGGGGGAGGGGAAAAAGGAAAATGAGGAGCTAATTCCAGGAACCCAAGAGGAAAGCGAATTTTGAGAATGAGGGCAACAAATGTATGGGTGTGCTTTACACAATTGATGTATGTATGGATTGTGATGAATTGTATGAGCCCCAATAAAATGATTAATAATTTTTAAAAAGTACAGAAGATCTGGTACCAGAGGATCAAATCCCCAACATGCCACTGCTTTCATTCAAATGCATGTTGAACTCTTACTATACACCAGAAATTGTTCTATACATGGTGGATCCAGTAGTGACAAAGTTTACAGTACAGAGTGAGAAATACTGTAATGAGTTAAAATTGAGTGAACTCTAAAAGCACGTCTATGACATTTAACCTCACTGAGCCTTAGTTTCGTTTTTTTTGGAAAACAAGGATCAGAAAACTTCCACGTCCAAGGATGCTATGATGCTTAAGTAAGATTACTCAAGTAAAGCAGTCACACAGTGATGTCACGCTCAGTCCCCTTCCCTGAATTCCATGCTGGGGTTCAAGGATAGGATGGTGGTAAGAGGAAAAGAATGATGCAACTTTTCACATCGGCAGTACAATCGCTTTTAACCTTAGGAGAATCCATGGAATACTACTACTCACTAGGAAAAGGCCTTACTTTGGGATGTCTACCTTTGCTACCCTAGACAAAGGTGATCAGAAGTGCACTGGCATTGAGATTTACGGGTGTGTATCGTTAAGAGAAATAAACAGGATGGTGTTCATGTTAAGGGCCTTATTGTACCTCTAATGATATTTTCTGATTTCCTCAAAGATACTCCTGTACCTTCACCACGTCTTCTGATCTCTACTGAAATGCTGCATAGCCGTGGGCGATGCTGTCGGATACTACACGTGCCTTCAGAACACGAATTCATTTCTCAGAGAGACGACATGTGAATGATTCTCTGAGCCTGAGCTTAGACTCTACCCAATGTAGTTTTCATTTTCAAACCATCCTTCCCAAACCAGCTATTAACCTTAGAAGCAGGTGCCTTTTTTAAGGGCCCTGGCTTGGGTGCTGCAGTATCCTTGGGGTCCTTCTCTCCTGCAGCCCCAGCAGCAGCAGTCCTCCCAGGCACAGGCTTGAGCGCCTTCTTATCAGCTGCCGGCCCAGCCTTCTTACCAGGGACCAGCTCTACTTTCTCGGAACATTCTCTGATCTGCAAAATGAAATTGAGAGGAACATCATTATGTCTAACTTTGAAAAATCATTCCACTGTGATTATTATATTTTTACTACATTATTGTTTAATGTTATCTCAAGGTCAGAGAAAAAAAAAATAGAGTTTCCTTTTCAACACTGAAATTAACCAGACTTTCTTAGAAGTAGGTATCTTATAGATATCTGATTAATAGGATATTTTATTTTTTTTTAAATAATTCTAGTAAATTCATAATAATCTCATTTATGATAATGACATTCTTATTTCAAAAGTTAATTTTGTAGCTACTAGAAACAAATTTATCTCAAAACTACCTCTACTGACTGGCCTCTCAGCTTTTCTTTGATACAATTCAAATTTTCTACTAATATTTCCATCAATATCATCATTGTACCTTGGGGTGATATTTAAATCCTCTAAAGTAATGTTCTCAAATTCCAGGTCTCAACCATAGGTAGAGAACAACAGAAATTGTTTGTTTGTTTTTCCACTCTCATAAGTTATTTTTCCCCCTCTCCAAGTCCTGTTACAATTATGTTTGCATGTAGGTAGGATGTCAAATTTATTTCCCACTGTGGTTTGTAATAAAGAAAATTGAGAAACCCTAATCAAAAGAATACCAGTACTACCTAATTTTCAAAAGCCAAAACTAAAATACAGAGATAGGCCTGTTGTTCAAGTGCATTATAATCTATCACTAGGCTACCTTATCAAGCTTGAGCTTGTCCACATCAGCCAAGAATGGGTTTACTGCTTTCTCACCAACCACTTTCAAAGCAGTGCCCAGTGCTTCAAATGCAGCATCTCTCACTTCAAGAGCAGAATCATTGATGTGCTATCAGAGGAAAGCAAAATAATTTTAATGCAAGATTCAGGCATTACACAATTTTACTCAAATAGGCAGAAGCTGGTAAGACAATTTGCTTTACACAATTCACTGATGCTAAGTGTAGTTTTCCTTTTGCCAAATAACAGTTAAGTCTTTCATGAATTCTCTTTGGGTTAAGGTAAACTCTCTTAACTCATTCAGCGAATAAACCTTCTCTCCCTCCACCTCTCTCTATACCAAAGATGGTCCACTCTCAAGTAGACATCAAACACTCCCATTTGATGTCTGTGCTTGACCAGATCCAGATGGACATGGTCAGTTATAGCACAAAGCTAATTGTGCTCTTCTTCAAGAACAGGAACACAGACCAAGAGGTCAAGAGACCACACATAATCTATTCTCAAACACAAGCCGTCTTTATACTATTCAGAAAAAAGTTTGCAGGTTTATCAGTGATGACCCAGTTTCGAAGAGAGCCTGTACCTTAAGTAGAGCAGCGCAGAAGGGCTTCAGTAGGCTCTTTGGCAAGGTAGAGGCAGTGCAGTGGCGGAAGCTTCTTGCAATGAACAGGGATGTTTGCTGCTTGATGGTTGGATTTTTATTATCCATCACTGCTAAAACATCTTCACTGATGTTCTGTAGTGTGGTCTTTAGAAAGAAAAGGCAGGCAGTGAACTTCTCTCAATTACAAAAACAAAACAAAAACTCCCCGCCATCCAGTCAACTGTGACTCATAGAATGGCCTCTGTAGCTGTGGAACTGCAACTCTGTATGGGAGAAGAAAGCCTCACCTTTCTTCTGCTCAATTATGAAGACCTAACAAATAGTACATCAATAAGATTTACTTCAGATAAGTTTACTTTCAGCAAAATACTCAAACTATCAACTTACGGTTAGAAAAATGGCATCTATTGCCTCTTGAAGGGCCTGTACCACTTGAGGCTTCTTCTCTTTGAATTTCTCCAAAATGGTTGGTACAACCTGTAAAAGTGGACAGCTAGAATATAGTGTTATTCAGTAATTAAAATGAACAAAGCACTGATACATACTACAATGTGGATGAATATGAAGCTGAGTGAAAGAAGTCACTTACAAAAGACCACATATTAAAAGAGGTTTTTTTCTATAAAATGTCAATTACATAAACCGGCACATCTAGAGAGAGATGAGTTAATGCCAATGTTGGGGGAAAGAGGAGGGTTGCTGGGAATAGGTATGACGTTCCTATTGTGGTTGGTAAAAATGTTCTAAAAACTACTAAATTACACACTTTTAAAAGATGAATCTCATAAAAAGTAAACTGTCCTTTAATAAAGCTGTTATTAAAAATCTATTACCATGGCTCTACCAAATTTTTAAAAAGTGAGCTAATGAGTTGAATCGGAAAATACAGAGAAGTTTATTAATGGTTCTCGAGGGCATAGGGAACGGGAACAGTGGGTATTATCTCTGAAGGGTATTGGTTTTTTTCTATTTAGAGTTCATTTTGAAAATTGACAGTGGTGCTAGTAGCACAGCATGGTAAAATTAATATCAATGAATTGCATGCGGAAAAATGACTATAATGGCAAACTTTTTGTTACATATATATCTTACCCATAGCAAAAAAAAAAAAATTATTTCCCATCTTGAAGAGCATAAAATCTTAAGGTGGAATAATTAAGGGCTCCCATTCTGTCCCACTGTAGCAATGCTCTAAGCCTTCTTTCTGCCTCTGTACCTTTTTTTTTTCTCATGATTTTTTAAAATCATTTTATTGGGGGCTCGTAAAACTCTTATCACAATACATATATACATCCATTGTGTATCAAGCACATTTATACATTTGTTGTTCTCATCATTCTCAAAACATTTGCTTTCTACTTGAGCCCTTGGTATCAGCTCCTAATTTGTCCCCTCCCTTCCCTCTCCCCCCTCCCTCATGAGTGCTTGATAAATTATAAATTATTATTATTTTTTTTGTTATATCTTACACTGTCCGACATCTCCCTCCACCCACTTTTCTGTTGTCTGTCCCCCAGGGAGGAGGTTATATGTAGATCCTTGTAATCGGTTCCCTCTTTCTACCCCTCCCTTCCTCCACCCTCCAGGTATCACCACTCTCACCACTGGTCCTGAGGGGTTCATCTGTCCTGGATTCCCTGTGTTTCCAGTTCCTATCTGGTCTAGCTGGATTTGTAAGGTAGAGTTGGTAAATTTGATAGTGGGGTGTGTTGAAGCATTAAAGAAGCAGAGGAAAGGTGTATGTTTCATCATTGCTACACTGCTTCCTGACTGGCTGGTCTCCTCCCAGTGACCCTTCTGTAAGGGGATGTCCAGTTGCTTCCAGATAGGCTTTGGGTCTCCACTCTGCACACCCCCTCATTCACAATGATATGATTTTTTGTTCTTTAATGCCTGATGCCTGATCCCATCGACACCTCAGAATCACACAGGCTGCTGTGCTTCTTCCATGTGAGCTTTGTTGCTTCTGAGCTAGATGGCCACTTGTTTACCGCCTCTGTACCTTTTATTAGTCACCCAAACTCTCTCCAACAACTCTCCATAGACAAAATGACTTTTGACCAGTGGACTTAGGCTAGGGGAACAGGGATAGTACACACTTCTCCCTCACCAGGTTGGAAGCTTCCTGTGCCCTCACTATACCAAAAGCAAAGAAACAGTACCAGATTTATAGCAATTCGTGAGCAAATTTATACCAGCATACTCAAGTTTTAGATTTAGATCAGCATTACTGGAATTAGGTGAAGTTTACAGAGCAGCTCAGTTTTATGCTCAATTCATATACATTCTGATTCAATTCATCCACTGCAGTTCCCTCCAGTACACTTCCTCCCTGTGTTTGTTTCTATTCCTCCTTCTTTCTATTTAATTAATCATTTTATTGGGGGGACTTACAAATCTTATAACAATCTATCATTCAGTTGTACATATGTTGCCATCAAGATTTCCAAAAAGGTTTTTCTACTTGAGCCCTTGGTATCAGCTCCTGGTATCCAAGCCCCCCTCCACCCCCTCCCACCCTCATGAGACCTTGATCAATTTTATATTGTTATTTCGTATTTTACATCATTTTCTCCCTTCACTCACATTTCTGTTATTCTTCCCCTGGGGTGGGGCGTGGGGTGGGGAGGGAACCTATATATCCAGCCTTGGTGATGGGCTCCCTCCACTCCCGCATCCCCCTACCTCATGATATTGCTACAGTCCCTGAGGGTTTTACCTGTCCTGGATTCCAGGTGTCAAGAGCTCTTATCTGTACCAATGTATGTACTCGGTCTAGCCGAATTTGAAAGGTAGAACTGGGTCATGGTAGTTGGAGGGGAGGAAGCATTCAGGAACTAGAGGAATGATGTGTTTCGTCGGTGCTATACTGCACCTGGCTGGCTCTTCCCTTCTGTAGGGGTTGTCTAATTGTCTACAGATGGGCTTTGGGTCTCCACTCCAACCCCCCTTTTTCGCATCGATATAATTGTTTTGGATGTTTCAATACCTGATCCCTTTGACACCTCATGATCACATGTGTGCTTCTTCCATGTGGACTTAGTTGCTTCCCTGCTAGATGGCCGCTTGTTTAACTTCAAGCCTTTAAGATCCCAGATGCTATATCTTTTGATAGCTGGGCACTATCAACTTTCTTCATCACATTTGCTTATGTACCCATTTTGTCTTCAGCAATCATGTTGGGAAGGTGACTATCAAAGAGTGCCAAGTTATTAGAACAAAGTGTTCTTGAGTCTAGGGAAACCTGGAGTAGAGGCCCAGAGTTGGCTGCTATAGTATACTTAACATAAATATATGTACATTGACCTCTGCCCCTATCATTCTAAATATATTTACATATATGCATGTCTCTATAAATAGCTTTTGCCTCCTAGTTCTTTCTTCTATTTCCTTTCAACTTCCCCCCATTTCACTATCATGCTCACCCCCCATTCAGCTCCCAGTAATTCCCCTCAGATATACTATTCTTGATCCAACCCCACCAGGCATTATACACCCTCCTTACCATCAATTTCAGATTTCCTCCTTCTTTCATTACCCTCTGAACTTTGTCCTTGGGTAAATGCTGCCCTTTTGACCTTAAGTGGTTGATTATTTTCACCCAGAGTTTAGCTGAGTTCCACACCCAAATGTCTATGGGCCATAGTCTTGGTGGTCCCTGTAGTCTTTACCACACTAGTAAGTCTGGTCTCTTTTATGATTTCGAGTTCTCTTCCACATTTTTCTTCCATCTACCCAAGACCAGCCAATGGGATCCTTTTTAAGTGGTAGCCAGGCACAATCTCGGACTTGTGCTCTCAAGGCTGTGGTCCATTAATCCACTAGGCTAATTCTTTCCATGTGTCTTTTGAGTTTCGTTACTTGTCTTTCCTCTGGAAGGAAAATAACTAAAAATTGTATCTTAAATGGCTGCTCATGAACTTTAAAACAATTTTTTTTTAAAAAATGAACTTTTAAGACCTAATTTGCTACTCTTCAAATTAGGATGTAGAACAACACTTGTCTTTGCAAACTATATTATGCCAAATGACCCAAAAGTTCCCGAGACTATAATCCTGATTCTTCAGACAACTTTAATCTTTTTTCCATTTATTATACTGTTGCTTATTGGTGCAGTTGTAAGGACGTTTTATGTTGAGGTGATCCACATTAATGACTATAGTTCTGTTTATTACACTTGATCTTAGCCCAAAGGCGGACAAAGCGATCATAGTTTTGTTTGTTTCAAGACTAGGTTTTGATCATCAGTAAGTCCTTCATGTCGTCTTTACTTCCAGTAAGCAAGGTTATGCCTGTCATCTGTATACTGAAGGTTGCTAATGAGTCTTCCTCCAATCCCGATGTCAAATTCTTTTAGTTGAAACAATTATTTTTTAGCAGTTTTATTGGCACTCCATCCACATGTCATACACTTCAATAATTCAGTAACACTGAGAAGTTGTACAATGATTACCATGTCAATACGAGCACATTTTCTTCTTTGTACTCACTGTTATTCATGTTCCTCTTCATATAGTCCAGCTTCTTGAATTATTTGCTCAGAATACAGATTGAATAAGTATGGCAAAAGGATACAGCCCTGATGTACACCCTTCTTTAAACTACACAGTATTTATCTCCTTGTTGTGGTTGAATAACTTAGCTCTGGTCTATGAACAACAGAAGTCATACACTTGAAAATCAAACTATTTTAATGGTGATAAAGCTCAGGTTCAATTTTAGAAAAATAATGCCAAGAAGACAGTTCATAAATAGTCAAAGAAAATAAAATTGAACCATTAACATGCTAAACATTACATAGTTTTTAAGGGGAAATATAATCTTTAAATTATCAAACACTGCAGACATTCTTTAAGAGATTAAGAAAATGCTAGCAAGCCTGAGTCAGAACTCACACCAGAGAGCTAGTTAAAATGAATTTTAGAAATTGTTTATAGTTTAAATGCTATTCTTAATACAAATGTATAAAATAACACAAAACCAATCAAAAGCTGTTTAATAAGCTAATAAAAAACTCACAATAGTGAGTCACAATGCCAACTCACAGGGCCCCTATTGACAAGGCAGAACTGTCCCTGTGAACTTCCTAGGCTGTAACTTTTACAGGAGTAGAGTCCCATCTTTCTCCAGCAGAGTGGCCAGTAGTTTCGAACTGCACACCTTGTGGTTATCAACTGAATGTATAACCACCATGCCACCACAGCTCTTTAATCTGCTAATGGCATACTTGTATTCTCTCTCTCTTATACATGCACACACACATTACATAATAAACATTATTGCTCATTATAAAATTATTGTTTATAATCTTTGCTCTAATTTATTTGTTTAAGGGTTTTATAGAAAGGTAGAACTGGGTCATGGTAGTTGGAGGGGGAGGAAGCATTCAGGAACTGGTTATAAACCAGTTATGATTTGGTAGCATCTTTTTTTTTTAAGTTCTCTGAAGTTATTTTTAATGCTATGAGTAAGCAGGCTCCAAATATATAACTCAAATACAATGACACGTGACTAGGGGCTATTAAGAGACTCTAAGTCAACCTTCTCCCACCTAGTTCAGTAAGGTCAATTTCAGGATGCTGGAATATCTTAGTTAACTAGGTCCAGACTTAAGAGGCCAAAGAAAATGTTCTCAATTTGTTTCAAACTAGAGTGCTATCTTAATGCATTCAACGAGTATCTCCAGTCAGTTATTCTTAGAATAAACTAATCTATCACCACTATAAAAAACTGTATAAAATGTCAAGTACCTAAGTTATTTTTCTTTTAAACAGAAGAAACTCCTAATATACATTTTGTATATTTACCTCACTTTTGATTTATGTTGCGCTTCTTACTATTTTCACTGCTCTGGTTACTGGAAGTTTTATTTCATTTTGTAATACTATATACAATGTTGTAAGAACAAAGTGGGATAAAGAAATGAATATAAGCAAATAAATGAATTCAACTAAGTACTCTAGGCCATTAGCTTTTTCCAAAAAGCTAATGAATTTAGTTACAACTGACATCTTTATTGAGTTCTGCTGAATATTAAGGACATTTAGTGAGAAAAATATTTGCCCAATCTATAAAAGCTCTATGCTGAAGAGCTGTTGTAAAACATAAAGCAAACGAGCCTGCCATTCATAATCATTTTGTTGATTTGTCTCAACAAAGAAGTATTACTTACATGTCCTGCATATTGTCCAAATTTCTTCCTTAGCCCAACAGCCAGGCCGGTAAGGCATTTTGCTGCCAAAGCCACCAACATAACATTGGTGTCCTTTCCAACAACCTATTAAGGAGGTGGGTAGGAGAAAAAAGGGGGGGCTGAAAGTTTATTCTCAAAAGAATACGAAAAACAATTATGCTAATGGTTACATATTCTTTTCCTATTAAAGATTTTCATTTGATAATAGCAAAGATGAGGGCTTCTGTTCATGTTTAGCCTATCTTACAGCTCCACCAATGAAATTACACACAAAACCATAACTTCAAATTGCTAACTTAATGTGTAAATTAAACACCTATCAACGAATACCCATAACCAATAGGCAGAGTGGTATTTCTGGGTTGTCAACATTGCAGGAGGTGACTCTGACCAGGGCAGAGAAGTTGGAGACTTGCTTTCCAAGCAACCTGGATTTTGACTTTGCTTTGGCACTGCCAAAACGACTGTGTTTCTAAAGGACACCAGAGAGAAGCAAGCCCAGGCCATGTGTGACTCTCAAGGTTTTGTTCTCTGTACTAAAGCTTGTTTTCCCTCCACACTCATGTTATAGTAGGCTTATTTTCTTTACAAGATGCCCACAAATTTTTTGGGGTTAAATTTTCAATTACTCTTAAGTCATTAGAGAAAAAAATTTCTCCATCCACTTCTCTTTTACTTACTATTGTATTTATTAATATTTTGATTTTATTGTCATAAAAAAAACCTCAGGTATGACTGAAATGCTAAAATTTTTTGGTATCGTTAAAAACATATACCAAGCATCATTCCAACAAATTGAAATTCTACTTTGATGACTATGGAATGGGATTTTGGCATGAGTATTTATTTTTCTTATAAATCATCGTATTGGGGGAGGGGGTTCTTAGATCTCTTATGAGGGCATGAGTAGTTTCACATAGTTCAAAAGGCGATTTTCCTTATGGCTCCAATATAAAAAAAATGCATCGATTCTTAGTGACTGCACTCCCTTGCCAGTGAGAACTGGACCTTTGTACTATGAGCCTTATGTAAAACGCTGAAGAAGATGCCACAAGCCTATTCTAATTCAAGAAGGGAAAGAGTTGAAAGGACTTGTAGCAAGTGAGTAATGAACCAGGCACCTCAGTATACGATCTGCTTAGCACCACTCATTGTCTCATGTTAGAGTTTAAGTTAACAAGTAGTTCTAAATTGGAAAATAGGAGTATGAAAAGGAGAGAGGTGTTTGATGTCAGAAAAGTAGTGTCTGTGGGGGCCTCCTTCAGAAATAAGAAAAACTGAGCGACTTCTGTTCTAGATGGGGAAAGCAAGCTTTAGTTCATAAAAATCTCAATTTAATCTAACAATGGGAAAGTATCTATAATTTAAAGTGCCTTCACTCTTCTTAATCTAAGGGTACATTGTTAAAATGCAAAGTGACTATTAGCCTTTACTTTTAATTAGTCACTAGTTCACAGTAATCAAAACAAAGAAATTTTTTTTTTGCAGAAAGAAAAGCGAAAAAAAAATCAATGAAACCTATCATGAATTCCTGTGCTTGGGAAACCATGATGAAAACAAAAAAATAATTAAAGAAAAAAGTGGGAAGATATTTTCACATGGGAAATCTGGAGGTTGTATAATAAAATGCCTCAAAACCAAAAATCTAAACTTAAAAATTAAAATATACACGTATCAACCAACACCCACAACCAATTCACAAAGTTGGAGAAGATATTTTGGGGGCTGGGAAGGTGACGGTGATGGAACTTTTAAACAAAAATACGGTAATCTATGAACATGACAGTCCATAAAATATACTAAGTAAAAACTAGAAAGAAGTCATTTAAGAAATAATGTTAGGAAAATCATAACTAATTTCAAAATAGCAGTGTTTCACTACTTGTAAATCAAGGGAGGACAAAAAATTGGGAGACTTAAAGGAATACTTAATACAGACAATGGGGAGAAAAGATTGAAGGAGGAAAAAGGGATCACTAGATATCATATTCTTTCATCTTTCTTCCATGTCAGCATTTCATTTTGGGGACACGTTTCTCCTAAGTCAATATATGAATATGAAGTTTGTTTGTGGATGAGTGAAAAACCAACTATAAAAAATAAGATGTCATGCCTCACATGATTTTAAATAACAGAGGCTAACTTTCCAATGTTTTAAATATCTTAGTCACAAAATGAAGTTTCTTTTTACTTCTAGCCTTGGATTGTACAGAGGCAAAGCAGTTTCTGCTGGTGCCCCGGATGGTACAGAATGTGCTTTTGTCTACCCCGTTCTTTCAGTAAGACATTGGTTTTCATAGTCCCAATGGAAATCACAGGGCAGTGCTTCTTAGGGTATGTAATACACTAGGAAATGATGGTAGAAAACAGCAGTAAGTATCAAGGTGTGGGAGTGGAGCGTGGGGGGTGCTTTTACATGATCCCAAGCCAACCAAACCCACTGCTGCCGAATCGATCCCAACTCATAGTAAGCAAAGAGGACAGAGTTGAATTGTCGCGTAGGGTTCTGGTTTCCAAGGCTGCAATTCTGCTCAGAAGCAGACTGCCACGCCTTTTTCCTCCACAGCAGGTTGTGGGTTCAAATCGTTGACCATGTGATTAACCGTTAAGCAGTTTAACCACTGGGCCACAAGGGCTCCACCTTATGTGCACACACACTGAAAATTCAGTGAAAGAGCAGTAGGACTCCTGTTTAAAAAACTACATGCTAGAAGAACTAACCGAATCAGAAGCTCTCTTCACAGACTGCTAGAATCTCACGTCCCCTCTCAGAGTACACGCTCCTCTTCTTTCTCCCGTTTTTCCCCACCAGGGCCCAGATCAGGGAAACTTTTTTCCCCAGGGCAGTTCACTTTCCATTGCTCTTGCCTGAGTACATGGGGCTTCAAGATGGAAGCCTGGAGACTGAACTAAGGTTATAACACAACAGGCCTACACGGAAGGCCAACTATGTGAATTACTTTCATATGCATACAATCGCAAACCAACTCCATCGGAACTACAATCTGAGTCTTGAGGTAAAGTTATAAACAAGCCCTTTTCCACCTTGGTATATGTAGTCAAGATGTTTTCAGATCTGACCTCAAACTCTATAACCCACAGCATTCCACTGATACTTTCAAGATATTATAAACTTATTAAATACAGATACATTCACCAGCAGCAATCAACCTGATTAGACCAAGACACCAAACCAGTTTTTTCTTAAAATGTTTTATTATTTAGTACTTGGCTATTTTATTACTACTGCCTCTGCACAACCATTGTGGTACAATCTGCTGGCCAATAAAAAAGACTTCATGTTTTTTATTTATTCCATTAAATCAACTCATTTTAAACAGCTTGTCCTACATAACTGTAAAACTGGAATATCTAACTGAATCAGAAAGATCCCATTTCCTTGAAGCTTACAGACACTATCAAGTAGTATTCTTTTTTTTTTTAAAGTAGTATTATTTACGCTAAAGTGATCATACACAAAAACTGAAAACCAGCTTAGGACAGTAGTTTGGACAATCCTTTAGAAATATATGACTATATGGAATGGGGTACAATTCCTGTCTGTACTTTTATCTTTATATTATTATTATTTTATCTTTACCACTTTATTTCTATTTGGTGTCTTATTGTTTCTGTTGGGTTTCCCAGTTTGTGAAACATAGGAGTGGATGCATAGAGATAATAACTGATGCAAGAGTTTACAGGGGATGTAGGAGTGGGCGCTGGAAGCTAGGGAGGGTGACGGGATTTTGGGTGTAAACAATGAAGGCTGGAGGGGAAATGACTCTGACCATCTAACCATGGGTGGAAAAAGCTTAAAAAATTAACTGTGGTAATGATTGTATAATTCTTCTTGATACGAATGAATGATCAAACTATTGAATTGCAGGATGTGTGGATTAGGCATCAATAAAAATGTAGACAAATAAATAAATGACTATACCTTTAAAAGCATTAACAATGCTCTGAAATAGATCAGAATTTGTGCTAAAGAGGTGACTGATGAAAAAAATCCAATGACGTGGTCTGTGATTAGGCTACCAATGTTTCAACTCCTCACATTTACCTTCTTCAGTGCTTTTACTAAATCCGCATAATCGCCTGCTTCCAGTTTGGGGTTTTTTACGAGTATTTCTACAGCCTCCAGAGCCTCTTTTCTCTCTTGCCACTTTTTTGCTTCCTGAAAGATATAATAAGAGTCACTTATAGAACATAAAATATGACCGAATAAAATCTATTTCTTACACTCCATTAATTCAAAGATACATAACTTGTTTCCAGAAACTTTTTCTAAAGCTAATTTTAAAACGAAAGTTTAAAACTGTGCAACCAATCAGAATGTTCTGTATACATAAATTTATTTTCACGTGTGAAATAGATTTTGTAGGATTTCATAATTAAATTTAATAAATTTATACATTTTCATATTCCTAACGTTCTTCAATAAATAAACAGGATTAGGTGCCCTAGGTTTTATTCCATTCCATTTTGTAGGTACTCACTCACTGCCATTGAGCTGAGACCGGCTCAGCCACCCTAGAGAACAGGGTAGAACTGCCCTTGGGAGTTTCTGAGGCAGTAACTGTTACAGGAGTAGAAGGCCCCAACTTTCTCCCATTGTTTAAAAAAATCGTTCTATTAGGGGCTCATACAACTCATCACAATCCATACATACATAAATTGTGTAAAGCACATTTGTACATTCATCATTCTCAAAACATTTTCTCTTCACTTAAGCCCTCGGCATTAGGTCCTCAATTTCCCCCTCCTTCCCCACTTCCCCCTCCCTCATGAGCCCTTGACAATTTATAAATTATTATCCTGTCATATCTTGCCCTGTCCGACATCTCCCTTCACCCACTTTTCTGTTGTCCATCCCCCAGGGAGGAGGTCACATATAGTTCCTTGTAA